ATTTACCTGTCAGCAAAGTACCATGAAGCCTAACATGAGGTTAGGATTCTGTCGTTGTCGATGATGAAGGCTTGCGGCGTACCGAACGAGAATATAATTTCTCCGAGAAATCGAAGGACTTGCTCCGTCGCCTTGTCTGGCACAGGGCGCGTGACAATGAAGCATGTGGTAAGGTCGACTGTGGTGATAAAATACCTGCTGTCGTCTTCCGAGTTGATAGGTCCAACATGGTCCAGTGCGATTCATTCGAAAGGGGTTTGGGGTGGTGCATGCTGGTTGAGAGTGTCTGGTTGGAGTCCAGTCAGATGATTGTAGCGCTGAAACTTGTCGCATTTTCGGACGTATGTTTCGGATATCATGAGTCATGTGTGTCCAGTAGCAACGGCGCTGAATTTTCGAAGCAGAGTGCGAGCTGTCTCCATGTTCTTCATGGCCATGGTAGCTGCAGAAAACAGCTTGTCGCCAAGAAGTCGGGACGACTGCGCAGAGTCGTTCCATGTCGCCGATGTTGGAGACGTGTACGACAGTGCCTTTGACTAGTTGGTAAGGGCCGGAGACACGCGTCGTGGCGCTGATTGGGGTTTGTTGCTCCAACTACCATATGATTGTGACAAGCGCAGGATTGTGTCGTTGGGCATTGCTGTGTTGCGAGTCTTCAGCAAGGAGCACGTAGACAGAGTGTACGATATTTAAAACTTGAGACAGTGCATCAGCGATGTCGTTCGATTCACCCGGGGTGTGGTGGATCGTGAAGTTGTACGAGGCTAGATCGAGAGCAATTTATGCAAATCATCTTTGTGGATTTTTTTCTACCATGACATGCATGATGACCCAGTTGTCTGTATACAAGTCGAAATGTTCGAGGTCTTTGAGGTACGCGTGAAAGCGATCGGTGATTGCCCAGTGTGCCGCGATAGCTTCCAAGTCTGTGGAATGCTTGTGCTGGTCTGTTTCGGGGACTTTCTTGCTGGCATACTCCAGGACTCAAGTTTCCTTGCCATGTCGTTGTGAGAGAAAAGCTCCAAATGCTGTGTATGACACGTCAACGTGAACTCCCATAGGGAGATCAGGGTTGAAGTTCGCGAGGATCAAAGCCTCGGTCAAGCGTTTCTTGAGAGTGTCCATTGCTTCTTGACACGTTGGAAACCAGGTTAAAAGGGCGTCTTTCTTGGTCAGATCTGTCAAGCAACATGCAGTGTGCACATAGTACTTGATGTACCAACGGTAGTGTGGTGCGAGGCCCAGAAATGATCGAACATCATTCTTTGTGCATGGCGGGCCATAATCTAAAATTGCCGCAGTGCATTTAGGGTCTAGGGCAATTCCATATCGGGAAAAGATGATACCGAGGAAGGAAATTGTACTTGCCATGAAGATACACTTCCGGATGTCAATGCATAGTCCCAGGTTGCGGAGGAGGTCAGAGTTCGGCACAGAAGGTCGACGTGTTCTGGCACGTTGTCAGTGAAGATGCAAACGTTGCCGATGTAGACGATCACATGTCCGGTTGTGATGAGTTCACAGAGGCCGTCGTTCATGACATTCTGCATTGTAGCGGGCGCTGTTCATAGACCAAAAAGCATTCGAAGAGGCTTTTGTGTCCATCCTCAGTAACAAACACTGCTTTGTGGATGTCTTTGTCCCAGAGTGCAACGTTTAGAAATGCCGTTTGGATGTCGAGTTTCGTGAAGTAACAGGATCCGACTGTCTTCCAGACAAGTGAGCCAGTATGGACATCAGGTAAGCTTGTTTGACTGTCTTTGCATTGAGGAACCGGTAGTCGATGCAAAGCCTTTTCAGGGTCGACTCGTGGTGTGGTTGCTCAACGAGGACGGGTGAGGCATAGGGTGACTTCGAAGGACGTATAATTCCTTTTCGCAGCCCTTCATTGGTCTCAGGGCGAATAAATTTCTTGTTGGTTTCGCTTGTCGAGTAAGGTTGCATTCGCACAGGCTTGCTGTCGGTAAGCTCGATGCTGTGTTGCACGTGTTCACAGAGACCAAGGTCTCTGTCGGGGGTCACGAAGACTTTTACATTTTCCAGAAGAGTGTGTTTTACTTCCGCAAAATCCTTGTCGCGTATGACTAAGGGCTGGTTGAGAGAGCAAACGGTGTCTCTAACTTTGTCAGACATAAGGAGGTGTGGAAAATGCGCTTCTTCCCCCACCGTAGAATTGTTACTTTTGATGGATCTGTGAATGGTAACACAGATCACGTCCCGCTGTGGTGTTTTGGGGTGCGCATCGGGGCACAGGAAATCTGGTGTGCAATGAGAGCCGGTCTCGGCTGACATATCTGTTGTGCCTCTGGGATCATGAAGTTGTGCGCTTTCAAGCTGCAGCGGTTTGTCAATGGAATGAGGAATCAGCTTGACGAAATGCGAAATCGGGCTGTCCATGCTCGCTGATGTGCACGAGTGGAAACGAATAGGTGTTGGTTGCGTTTTTGAAATCCATTCAATAGAGTGAGTTGCATTTCTGTAGCGCTCAATATAGTCAAAGGGAATGGCTTCGCACCAGACAAGTCCGACGTTTAGGGTGCGCGAGAGATTTTAGACAACTCTAACATCGACCGTAGCAGCCACGTGTCCGATCGTGATGGTCACTTTGGTGGTGCCTAGCAAGTGCTGAGCTTCGCCGAACGGTTCTTTCCGCTAAACATTGTCGTCAGGTGTGACGCAGAAACTGTGGGACCGTGCGAAGTCCTCTGAAATGAGCGTGGCGGCAGATCCGGTGTCCCTGAGTGCAGAATCTGCAGGCCGCTGATGATCATGGGAAATGAGATGGTCTTTTTCGAAGAATCAGCGTAGGTGAAAACTACACTGTTGACATGATCTGTTGCCTTGTTGGAAGTCGCGGTTCGGCGCGGTGTGCGACTTTACTTTCGTTGGGTGGCGGCTGCCTTCTGCTCCTCGGTGCGCGTGTGCCCAGTTCGGAGCAGTCTTTCGCATAATGTCCTTCATTGTAACTCCTTGCACGCATGTGCGATGACAATCTGGCAGGCAGTGTTGTGGTCTTTGGCGGTGATCTGTGAGATCACCACCGAAGACCACTTGAGGTTGAAGAGTTGCTCTGCCTATTGTTGGAGGCGATCTTGCCTCGGTTACCGTGCTAGGCCCGTTGTAGTTTCATATTCGTACCTGCTGTCGGTCAAGGCGTGTTACGTAGCTGAGAAAGTCGGAGATAGATTCTCGGTGCAAGTCGTAAAATGCAGACAGCATCGGTTTGTGCATGTTTGTTAAAGAGCTTTCGATCAGTCAGTCAATGATGTCCACGTCCGTGAGGGGGTACTTTCTACACTTGATATGTTACAGGTGGACGTACATGTAGTCTGCAAGACTTTTTTCCTGCTGCTGGGTCCAAGCGTTCACGTGGGAGACCCATTGGCGAAAAAGAAAAGGCTCGTCAAATTCCGATTTGACTGCTGCTGTCCATACGGTTTAGTATGAGTCTCATGCTGTCAGTGCAGTGCCATTCAAAGGCTCGTCTGCGGAGGCGCGATTTCGCAATGCTCAACGTCGCTGGGTTGTTCCAGGCTAAGTGGTCTCGCATCGACTCAATGGCAGCGAGCCAATCTTCGAAGCTTTCTGTCTCTTTGCCGGAGTGAGTCGGGAGCGTTGAAGTCAGGTCCAAGGTAGTAGTGATGTTCATCGGGTTTTTTGTTGGGAGGTGACGTGACCTGCCGTTCCAGGAGTCGTGCAATCATCTCGAGGGCTGATGCCATAACCGTCGTGATCGTAGTGCCCATTGCAGCGATTTCTATGACATGGTGCGGTCGGTGCGGTGTCAACAATGGTGGTTGCGAGGAAATCAGGGCAGTTGTCGTGACTTCATGAGACCTCGGTGGCTGTCGTTCGTCCAGCAATTTGTCGTCGCTGCCGCCCATTGAAGCCCTGCTCATCAAGGGGGTGGTTTCCTTGTTCTTCGTCGCCATGTTAGAAGTGATTGTCGGGAATCATAACGTGAAAACAAAAATAAAACATTTAATGAAAATGTTCGAAGAATATTTACAGAAAGGGAATTTAGCAAGTTCTTTTTGTCTGTGCTTTGCGATCGAATCTCCCTATTTAAGTCTCTGGGGTTCCCAGCTCAAACTTCCCTCAGAGCTCTTTCCTCCTCTCCGTTTCCTGTGCAGCAGGTTCGATTTTGGACATCCGCTTACGCTGCGCGGACGTGAGATCCGACACGATGGCGCCGTTGCCTGAGGTCTTGAGTTGAATTTCTCACACTTTTCCTGCGTATTTGTTGCTTACAAAATACAGTAGTTCTCCACAGCCAAGTAAGATTACATAATAAAACTGCAGTGTGAGTTGCTTCCTGTCTCATCTATAGGCCCCTAAAAGTGTTAACAATTGTTACATTTTCCCAGATTATATGCATTTTTACCATGCTTCCTTGAAAAGTGTACTAATGAGTTTCTACTGTAAGTAGTTCCCATTTATAATAAGATGCATATTTTCTTCATCAAAAGTGTGACAATACATGTAAACAAAAGAGTAATGGATGAATAAAACACTCTCGATAGCATCACTAATGTGTGTGTGTCAGTCCAATGCAAGTGAATTCACTATGAAAAGCCTACACAAATCATGAAGGCAAGACATGATCAAAAGTCACTTTGCGGAAAGTATTTTCCTAACGTGTTCTAGTATTCAACAGCTCATGTCCTTGGCGTCAAGTTAGGATGCTGGCACTGCCTCTGAAATGGCACACACGTGGGTGCTTGATTATTTAAAAATGACCGCATCTCCACGAGGTGGATGATGTTGATTCGGGCAAAGCTTTGGTGGTGCTGATCAAACAGATTTTTTAAGCATTTGACCGCAGCACCCTCTTGTCTATAAACGTTGAGCCAATGCATGCAAAGTTTAACGCGATTATATACGCATTTGACCGCAGCGCCCTTTCCTGTATAGACGTTGAGCGGCTGCATGCAACATATCATCCATGACGTCCCCAGCTCTTGAGTTACTACCACATCTCAGAGCCTCCTACTCGTCCCGCAGTCGTGGCCGAGTGGTTAAGGCGGTGGACTAGAAATCCATTGGGGTCTCCCCGCACAGGTTCAAATCCTGTCGATTGCGCAAACATTTTTTTTTTTTTCTTTTAAGAAGTCAGATGGGATAGCAATCGATGTGAGCACGGACGCCGGACAAGGCCATATCCTAAGGAGCTTCGCCCCTAAAATAGGTTCCAGCGCATACACAGACCTCACAGGGAAACCCTCTTGCTGGGGCTGGCGGGAAAAAAGCCAAAACTTTTCGGTGGCAAAAAAAAAAATGAAAAGAGAACACTTTTTTTGCACTAATATGGGAAAGGCGATGGTAACACAAAACATGATGCAGCACAGAGGTAGATGTAAAATGTGCCGAAAAAGTGAGAAAAAAAAAGTAACAATGGGAATGTGCCAGCACTGTGTGCAGTGAGTACAACTGGCAAAAAGGCACTAGAATTAACCCGCTGCGGCAAAGTGAACACGCCTGAACTGGCGTCTGTTTTCTTTCTCTGCATTTCTGTCTCTCTCTTTTTCTCTTGGGAAGAATGAAGCTAATTTTTTTAGCATCTACTAGAAAAGCACTGCTTTATGCATAAACACATAATCTGACCTGCGGGGCTAGGTAACTCCCATCAACTCAAACAAAACATTCAGCTAGCAGTGAACAGTTAGTGAAGAGACTAGCACTACGACAGCATTTTGCTTACAGTCGATATTTCATTTTCCATTTCAAGAGTGTGAAACCGGTTACTATAGGTGCCAGCCATATAAATGTTAAAATTCAACTTGTGTGCAGCACTTTACTCCACACATATTGCTGGATGCAATTTCAAGGGTTTGAGGGTGTTGACTTGGTGCATGGGTCCTGCTTTTACAGCGGAGCTGTTAAAGGGACACTGACACCCCCAAAATTTTTTTTTTTTTTTTTTGCCAGGCACTTTATTGTGGTGTTGGAGAACTACCCAATTAATATTTTGCAACAGAATAGCATATTTTTTTAATAAAGCCAAAAGACGCAACTGCTCGAAACCGAAACCTGACGGAGGGCGGAGAAGTGGAGAGAGAGGTGCGAGTGGCGGAAGTCACGTGGCTACACCCAACCGTGCGTCTTTTTTTTTTTTGTTTTTTTTTTTCTCCTCTTTGTAGCAGACGACACGACATGCAGCGTGCGATGCGGCGTGCGGGAACTGCTCGCCGTGTGATTTTTTTGCAGTTATGTTTGTTCCGCTCGTTGTTCTGTACTCCAAGATGAGTTGTTTTGTACATTGAGGAGTTGGAGATGAGTAGTGAGTGCCCGTGGTGAATTTTCATGATCGGCTCCGAAAAGAATACACCCAAGATGTTGCGTGAAGAGCTGGCTCACATGTCCTACATCCGAAAAAAAGTGGCATTGTGCGGCAGAGTTTCCGAAAGATCAACGGGATCGGGACCGATGGCTGGCTGCAATTCCTGTAGAACATATACGTACACCTCGGAAAGCGGACGCTACCTGATTTATATGCTCCTTGCATTTTGTGGAAAGTGATTACATTGAGTTCGCAGGTGTCAAAACGGAAATCCCAGGCCATTTAATTCAGCAAAGTATCGTCCACAACATTTGTTTGTTATTTTTTTTTTGTTTCTTCAGTGATGATTGTAAAAAAATGTAAACATCAGAAAATGTTTGAAAAAAAAAGAAAAAAGTTTCACAGGGGATCGAATTTGGTCCTACCGCGTGTGAACCGGACGTCTTTCCCACTGAGCTACAGGGGCATCTCTTCACCGGAGGATCTCTTTCCTTAGTAATAATTCAGCCGGTAAACTGTAAGTTGGAAAGTTTGCTGCCGATTTTTCTCTAGCAAAAGCACTCCCGGGTCGAAGTCGGGAAGCACCACGCCTTGGGGACATTCGCACCTAGTAAAGAAATCGTACGCCTGAATATTCAACTCGAAGTAGACACGTCGTGCTTGACGTTTGCGCGAGCGATGTCTTCAGCCATGAGAAGGGAGCGACGGCTCGGCGACGTCTTCGTGCAAATCGGCTTGGTGGTCGGGCGTGTCGTACGGGAAGAATACATATTCTTTTGATCAGTCCCAAATTTCTCTTTTAACGGTAGACAGAATTCGCCGGTACCGCGAACGACAGTTCTGAAATAGAGGCCCCACGCCCGTCGTCCGCTACCATCGCCGTCCCCACGAGTCCCACGATACGCGAAACGACGATCGCACAGAATGCTTCCGGTTGTCTGTGGAACTTTTTTTTTTCAATCAACGTATTTACAGCTTTTTAGAAGCCACAAAAAAACGGGTTTCATATTTTTTTTCTATTTTTAATACTGAGTGTGTGCCTTCAGTGACCCACGACTTTGATTAAATTTGGTGGTCGCATCGATACCTTAGAAAACGGCCCGTGACCGCGAAAAAGAGAGTGAGCGAGACTCGAACCGGCCAGTTCTTGATCGGCGGTTTTCGGGCGGAAAGAAACCGAATTTCGAGCCGCAAATTCTGTTCTGGGTAGTTGAGCTCTCATATGTCACGAACAACTAAAAACCTCGGCGAGCATAAATACCCTGTCAGTGTCCCTTTAAAGGCTAGTTACCCAAGGATCGTGTCCCCCGTGACAAAATGTTGACACAGAACTCTGGTTGCCGCTGTCAATCATAGATGGCGGTAGCTGTCCAGAGTGTTGTGTTTGCTGGTTGTCCGCTTGTCACTCTGGCTTGCCGACTTGCGGCTGGCCATTACTTTATTTCCACCATAGCAGTTTTGCTGGTCTTCCTTCTTCACCAAAGTGGAAAGGCTAAAAGTTTTTTTGTAATATCATACCTCTTCAAGCAATGGTAGACATTTCTCTAATTTTGGACAACTGTTGATGATCATGTGCTTTTGTGAGCTACTGATCACCACAGTGACATATAAAAAAAATGGGAAAACCACTCCATACAATCAACTTATGGATTGTGTACATGAAATGTGTATGACTACCACTAAGGCACACACAACATACTAGCATGTAAGACTGATAACAACGGAGATGCTACTCAATGGTACTCTCATTTCATACTGACGACTTTGAATAAGTTAGCCCTGTGTGCCTTTTTGCCTAATCAGGGGCATGCTCCATTCGTTAGATTTCTTTCATCTCCAAAATACATGTCTCCAGTAAAGCTCTGCAAATGCATACACCCTCTCCCTTAAACTTGTTTCTCGCCATCACCACTTTCCAAGGGCACGACCAGCAATGTCAGCACCTACCTTTGCACATAGTTAGTCTTTTTTAACAATTTTCTTTAAAGCATTGCCATCAAAAGCAATGAAAACCGATATATAGCTGCAAGATGCTAATCTGTTCTGATAAGCGAAGGCGTGTTCGGCTGCCCCACATTTGTAGTTCGCTGACAACCCCGACTTCCCAGATGGCCCTCGTTACTCGAAAAAAGGTCCCTTCTTTATGTAGCCCGCATGCACATTGCAAGCAGCTTTGATACAGCAGTGAAGAAACATGCAGGGGAAAAACAATACATGGCTAAGGATAAAAGAGACATTGCTAGTCAGAGGTACTCACAGTTCCTGCCATGGCCCCAGCAGCAAAGCTGAACATGAATGTTGGTTCGGTCTGCTTGCACTGTCGCTTTAAAAGTTCATACATAGTCCAGTAGATGCCTAATACCAACAGAAGAAAAATTTTGAGGCAGAGTCAGGTTTCAGTAGTTGGAAAGTCAATCAACATAATATGCACTGCAATACTTAAATGGACTGCTTAAAAGCGGACACTGCCCAGAAAAAAAAAAATTTCTGCAAAAAAAGTTGATTTTGTAAAATGACATATTTACATCCATTAACATCTGGAGAGTATTCCCAAAAAGTTTAATTTACACTGCATAATTAATTTTTTATAAATTATTTTCTGTCCAACAAAGATTTTGTAAAATGACATATTTACATCCATTAACATCTGGAGAGTATTCCCAAAAAGTTTAATTTACACTGCATAATTAATTTTTTATAAATTATTTTCTGTCCAACAAAGATTTTGTAAAATGACATATTTACATCCATTAACATCTGGAGAGTATTCCCAAAAAGTTTAATTTACACTGCATAATTAATTTTTTATAAATTATTTTCTGTCCAACAAAGCTAAAGAAAAGGTAGGGTTCAGAGCACTTTGAACGGATTTATCTCCGTTCCACTTTTTGGTATAAATTTCATTCTAGTCAACATATCGTTTGATAATAGCAAAACGGGGAAGGCTCATTCTTCCCTTTTCCTGACTAAAATTTAATAAGGAATGCGGCTATGGAAATGTTTTTGTCACTTTACAGATGTCTTTTATAAAAAATGTTGACATTTTGTCAAAGACACAGACAACCAAAAAGTTGACCAAGTTTGCAGAAGAGAAAATTTATAGAAATAAATTACTCTCTACAAAAAAAACGTTCCATAGCCGCACCCTCTAGGCATTCTGATACATATCTAGCGAATAAAAATCTTTAATATTGTGATAGTTTTCCAACGATAGATTAACTAAACAATGAGGGCGTGTTGCTGATAGAAGCTGCTCTAATCTCCTTCCCATTTTACCGACAGGCCTAAAATTTTTTTATACACCGTCTAGCATAATCACCAGCCTACCCTGCAAATTTCATTCATTTTATGACAAGGGTTCAAAAGTTGACCCCCTTAGGGGGTGTGTCCCCTCAACAGAAAGCGTCCCTGAACAACCCCAATTCTGTAGTCATGCCATCACACGAGATATAGATTTGCAAAGCTTGCAAGTCAGTTAAAGTGCTCTCATTCACTTTCATATTAATCATTCTAAAGTTTTCGTTCCCATGTAGCAGCTAGCAAACATCATTTTTAATGCCACCAAGTTTCTTTGCTTTTTTTAAGCCCCACTTTTATCTAGTAGATCTAATCTCCTTGAGACTATACATATGAAAACACATGCAAGAGTATTGCCAAAAGCTAAAAATCTCTGACTCCCTTGAATTGCTATCTTTTACCATGCTTAGCCCACAAGATATCAAGCGATTCTGCTTGATATCTGTATACTCAGAGATGTAAAACCTGTTACTTTTTACCTCGCCACTTACATGATGATAGCTCAGTGGTTGACCAACACCGCCTAGAATACTAGTCAAAGACCGTGCACTAGAATTTCAATGTCATCACAGTGAGATTGAGCAAAGACACGGATTGGACAAGAGTGCAGGATCAGGCCAGTGTTGTGATACAAATATACTGCGATACTATTTCAGAAATACATTGTGTATTTATATTTCTGTACCGAGATACAACTTTGCACCTGCATCTTGTATTCCTGTACTGATATACATTTTTGGGTGCATTCCAGATATTTTGATACTATTCGGGGCCAATGTGTAGGTTGTCCCAAGTCACCAGGCTCGATCTCAAATGGGTCGAAAAGCATTGACGCCTGCACGTAGCAATCTAAACTTTTCGTTTAAAGGTGTATTTCACAGGTCGGTTTTTTCCTAGCGGTTTTTAACGGCTCAATATTCATAAGGTGAAAAACACCGAAACATTGCTGGAAAGGATCTGTTATGAAAAAGCGTTTTAGACTACCAGTGTGGTACTGTGATGCGCCAGCATGCATTGCGAACACTGGGAAATATTGCACTATACATTGCACGCCCACCAATAAGCCTCGTTCAGTCTGTACCAATGGTGCGTCTACACCTGCGGATCCGCACAGGCGGATAGTAAATTTTGAAGCCGGGTGGCGAAATCGACTGTCATTGGGGAGAAATCTGGATGTGGGTCCCGGACTGGTTCAAATTTTCCGCCAGCAATGAATCGACTTCGCTACCCAGCTCCAAAATCCACTTTCCACCTGCACGGATCCGTCGCGAATCCGGAAGTGGAAACGCGCCATTAGGACTGCGGCATGACGAAATGCAAGCGTGATAACATGGCGACGTGCCACAGCCTGCCGCAGTCCAACGACAGATCTGACAAACGGTTCGCCCAAAGACGCGTGTCGAGGCAGACGACCTAACAGATTGAAAGAAGAAACAAGCTTGACCGGCCAGTGCACTCAGCATCCAGATGGTTGAAGTACCAGGGTATGATGTGTGCTCAGAAAAACCAGTGACTTAGAAGCATTCTGAAGTGGCCCAACCGCTGCACAATCACTTCTCATCTCAGTGCAATGAAACCGCAGAGTGATACAAGCGTTTCACGCGAAATAAGCGACTGGGCATGTCGGCAAGGGAAGTAATTCTCGAGACATGGAAGATTCCAGACAAAGGAAACGATGCAGCCATGCAGGACCGTACGCTGCAGGACTGCATTGTGTGCGGGCTTTGAGATCCGGGAGTGTGCCGCAAGCTGCTCGCCGAGCCACCTTAGCGAGGCAGGAAGCAGAAGGCGATGCCCTGGTACCCGAAATGGCCGCAGCCAACGTCTAGCAAATGGAGCAGCGACCACAGAACACGCACCATGACTGGGAAGTCCATACCCCCTGTGGGCGACAACAAGGATTCTGGCGGAAGTAGAAAGAATGGAACCACAAGCACAAAGAGAAAGTGTGAAAGGAGTTATAAGGCCGGCCACGTAGCAAGGAATTGTCCTTTTTGGAGCCCGCCGTGCTCCCAATGCCAACAACAAGTGCTGGGCATCTTGCTAGAAGGAGGTGCCAGACAGTGACTTCTATGACCTGGGCACTGTTGGATTGATTGCACTAACCTAGTCAAACCGTCTTATTGAGTGCTTGACTGTGAAGGAGTGTTCTTGAAGATGCAACTTGACACTGAAGCTTTTGTGCTCATCACTGCATAGCCTACCTGTCTCTCAAGTATATCAAAACAGTTTGCCAAGGCTACGCGGGACACGTACGTCTCTTCGCCGACGACTGTGTAATTTATAGACCTATTAATTCAAACCACGATAATCAAATTTTGCAGAATGACCTCGCACTTATAACTCAGTGGTGCCACAAATGGCAAATGACTTTAAACTTTAATAAATGTAAATCTCTATCATTCACCCGCAGTTCACATATTTCATCCTTTTCTTATCACCTTTCCACTATCCCAGTAGCTACCTGTTCCTCATATAAATACCTAGGCGTTCACCTGACCTCTGATCTGTCATGGACTACTCACATAAATGCTGTCACTGCCGATGCTAACCGTACTCTCGGATTTCTTCGCCGTAACCTCAGACTAGCTACACCTTCAGTAAAACTACTAGCTTATACGACCTTGGTCAGATCTAAACTTGAATTTGCTTCATCCATATGGTCACCATGGCAATCATATCTAACTAACAACCTTGAATCCGTTCAAAACAGAGGTCTTCGTTTTATTTACTCTGACTACTCCCCATACACTAGCATATCAGGATTACGCAAATCAGCTAACCTTGACTTACTTCCTTTACGTCGAAGGGTGTCACGTCTCACTCTTCTTCACAAAATCTTTTACCATAACAACCATCTAAAAGATTCTCTACTATCACCTCCCTACCGTATTTTCCCTCGTTTTGACCACTCATGTAAACTGCGCTCAATTACTTTGTCATCTGTCTCCTATAAAATGTCGACTTTACCATCTGCTATTGACGATTGGAACTCATTACCTGACCTCATTGTAAACATGACTGACACTAACAAGTTTGCTGCAGCCGTTAACCTCTTTCTGTCTGAAATACAAGTATAGGTTACAGCGTGTTTTTTATTAACTATTTTGTTGATGTTTTTAGTGTGTTCACTCCCTTGTATATTGCCCCCTGGGGCCCTCAAGGAAAATAAATGATGATAAATGAAATGATGATTGCTGCAGCTCTCCTGTTTCCTGGGCAAGCTAACCGTATGAGGGCATTTGAAAATTCAAGTTTTGTTACAAGGCCAGGAAAAAGTGGGCACACTGATAGCAGTGGGATGTCCTGGACCAAATCTATCTGGGCGAGACCTCACCCAGGCGTTCCAGCTGGGGGGAGTGCCAGCATTCAATATGAAGGAAGTTCAGGTGAGCGTTCTTGACCTATATGCTCCAAAAACCGGGATGACATCCAGGGGTGCTCTTCAAATTTACAGGGTTATCCGAGCCAGGCCCATTGTTTGTTAAAAAACTTCCCATTAGCCTAAAAATATGGGCAGATGCCCTCCCACAGTATCGCGAGGCTCGCACAGTGCCATAGAAGCCGCGGATCAAAGTGGCCAACAAACTCGCCCCTGCCCAGCTCAAAATGAGACACCACTCGTCCTCGCGACCGAGAGAAATGTGGATACCCGACTGTGTGCCAATTTAAAGGGGCACTGACACATCAAAATCATGTTTTTTTTATTGTTTGAAACAATTGAAAACAATGCCGGGACATTACCCTCAAAATTCGAAACTTGGGAATCCAGTACAGTATAGACCACTTACAACATAACCGCTTATAGTGCAGGAACGGGTATAACACGTTTTTTTTAAACCACCGGTTCGCCTCCCATTGAACTGCATGTAATTACATACCGCTTAAAATGCAGGCGCGCGAAGGGAAATACCGGTTATAGTGCGGTTTCTGGAACAGCCCGCCGACCGCGCCGATGACCGGCGCAGCGAGCACGCTTCCCTGTGCGACACTAGATAACAGCGCTGACGGCGCTAGCCGCAAGCGGCACAAGGATGTTGCTCGAAGAAGCGGGGAGAAGCGAAGAGAGAGGCTTTAGTTGCAATAGCGACGGAGGGACGCACGCACGTGTCGTTCACGTGCGTGCGTCCCTCCGCTGCGTTGGAAAACATAAGTGCCTGTGGCACTTATGTTTTCCAACACACTAAATACTAACCACTAAATAAGTGCCTGTGGCAACAATTGCGATGCTTTCCAGCCTGATTTCCATTCATATTTCTGCCTGCAACTTTCTAAATGCGCGGGTTGTCCAGATTTTCGTAACTGGTGCGAGTTGCAACAATAAAAAAATTCTCTAGCTAGTGCTGCACATCTTGGTCGTCTCGGTTCTTTATTGGTCTATACCAAAATGTAATCAACAAAAAAAGCTGCTTGAAGCTCTGTACTTTTTTCACCTATTACGTCCAAGCTGATCACATTTTTTGTGATTATATTTCTATTACGTTACTAGAGCCTCACACACTAACTCTTGAGTGTGAGATGCAAAATTAACATTAGATACCCAGAAACCCGTCGCAGGTGCCCTGAAGTCGCTGACACAGATTTTGAGGAATGTATTCGGAGAAGTATTTGGAGGAGACCAATACATTCGGTTGTATTTGTATCTTGTACTTAAATGCTTTTTTGGAAATGTAATTAGATTTGTAATTAAATACATTTTTGACGAAGTATTTTGTATTTGTATTTCGATATATATTTGCATGTATTTTGGCCATCCCTGCTCTCAGGGCTCCTGAGAGTCGAGTTTCCTTCGCGCCTCTGCTGCGTCTGCCCCGAAACGTGTGTCCGCGACTCGCAGCGAGGAAAGAAGGGCGCCGGCGTCGAGGGGAACTACCGCACCGAGAAACCGGTCTCCTGCGCGAGTGCAGTGCTGCCTATCGCTTCGAGCAGACGACGGTGCCCCGGCGGTGTCACAACCGAAACTACGATACACAGACACCAAACCCAGTTGTTTTGACCGTTTGACGATTTCCTTTTCGAAGTCTGAGAGGTCGTCGGGCATTTATAAAAGGCCACTTTGTCCGACTCCCCAACTCACCGATCATCCTGAGAGCTACATGCATCGTGCGCCGCCATGTTTTTCAAGGGAGGATAAAAACCCAGAAGGCGACATAGTAACGGACTCTGATTTTTGGTATTTCAAAAAGAAGGGCAGTAGTGCATTTGCAATTGCGTTAAAAAACATGTTTTACGATTGCCGTTATTAAATGTTATAGAAATGTCGCCTACAAAACTTCAAAATGTCATGATTTTTGATGTCACCAATCAAAAGAAGCGAGGAGGTGACGAGCGGGAGAGAAAAACGCCAAAAATAAAAAGGCGCGCCCACGCGTGAAAAATTGTTTTTTTGCAATGCGGTATTTTTTTTTTTGTCTACGACTACAACATGCATCGTTTTAGTCAATAAAAAAAATACGACCTTTGGGGTGGCAGCAGGGCCGTAACCAGGGGGGGGGGGGTTAGGGGGTTCCGACCCCCCCCCCCCCCCCCCCCCCCCCCCCCCGAAATTTTTTTCTGGGTACGGCCCTGGTCGGTGCACTTGCAGCCAGCCGATTTTAATCTCCACCTCTGCGCACGCGCAGTGGCACCGGTCGGGTACCGGATACCAAACCGGGACCGGTTCTTCGGTTTGCTATAACTCTCCATTATATGCCACCGATGCACATGATTCATAGGCGAAAATAAGACAAAATGGCCGCCGTTGTCCCCGAAAACCCCCCCCGAAATTTTTTTCTGGGTACGGCCCTGGGTGGCAGTGCCCCTTTAAAGTCACATTGTCTGCAGACAAGAGCAGTATCTGTTGCCCAGAACTCAAGACATTTTTTTTTTTTTTAACTTTAATGTCGGGGAAGTTCTGAGTACTATTAACCAGAAGGATGCAAGCTTCCATTAGATGCTGTCAACTGGCAACTAACCGGGGCAAAAACACAGGAGGGCTTGTTCATTTTTAACCTTTCCAGAGGCAAATGGAAGCAGTGCAGCAGGGAGTGCCCGGAGTTCAAGCATACTTGGATGACATCATCGTCGCTGGAAAGGGATCCTATTCCTTACGTTAAACTCTTCACCATGAACGCACAATTGTTTTGGATTTTATGGTAGACGTTCTGACGCCTCGCTGGCAGATGCTCCAACTTCCTACTCCCTACTCATAATGCCAGGGTTTGATTTGTGTTAGTAGTGGTATTTTTGGTACTAGGTAACTTTGACAGCTATTCAGGAATTCTCCAGTCTTATTGTAGCACTTGTAGTGCTTGCCAGCACAGAATGTTCTCAACTGCCGGCTACACAACGGAAAGCCAAGGTGGCTGTGGACATTCCATCATCCCTTCGTCGGCAATGCAGGATTTTCAGGCAGAAATGTACACTATTAAACATTGATTTTCGGTTTTGACACAAGTCTGCTTTCCTATTTGCCCCCCTTATGTATCTATCCAGGTTAGATTACTAAGACACTGATGTTTCTGTCAGCTTAAAAGGGGCGTGGTGTGGCAGGTTAGGAATGCAAGCCAGTGTACGGGTCACTTACACGAGAAAGGAACATCCCGTAAAAGCGTGGGTCCAAGTCCAGTGTACAAAGAGAGAACGCCCCTTGCGTTGACGAGGCTCCTCACCGCTTGCCCTATCTCTGCGTCATCATAGGATCAAAGGAAGTATTTGTCAAGGTTACATGCACTGCACATAGCTTGCAACCACAAATTGATGGCTATGCAATGTCATCTTGAAGCACCACACCACTATAAAAGCCCATTTCCAGCACTCAAATTAAAGCGCATCATTCTCCGAGTTCTTGTTCCCCAAATTTTGAGGCATGCTCAGAATACGAGTGAGATAGGTTACCGATGAATTGTGCCTCGTGAAGATAAAATCATTGAAAAAAGTGAAGTGCCAATCTGGCCTTCGCATGGCAAACAGGGTCCGAGAGAGTTTAGGAACTCCCTGCAACGGAGTGCATATGACTTCCACGGACTAGTGTGGATAAAAGTGTTCCGACTACAAAATTTGTTACGAATTATTTATTCAATTCATGAGGACACTGTTCAGTTAACTAGAATGGGTGAAAAAAGTAAATAGAGTTTAGGGTATATGGACAAGAACAGTAAAGACAAGAGTACATACAAACAGACCACTGTATTTTGATGTCATACAAGGTTACATGACACATCTCAACTGCACCTGTCAATAAAAAAAAATTTACAGCAAACAGAGGTCACAGACTTTGCATATACAAATGCATGTTCGCAATAAATATATGCAAATGGCTTTTTCCTCAAAAATAAGGCATCTCATTAGAGAAAGCTCAACATGCTAGCTGCTCGCATATGCAATTTTTCTGTCAATATTAGCAATATGTAAGTATTCAAATGTCAAGCATAGATCTATTAGAATAGCAGAAAGCAACCAACCCCTAAAAGTTGTCTACCATGTAAAATTAAGGGGTTTTACATGCCAAAGAGGAGGACTGAGGTTTAACTTAGACCACCTGGTGATCTTGTGAAGTACAATCGAAAGCTAGGTTACACGGCGCCCTCTTTGCATTAGGCCTCCGTCGGATTGTGGGCACTCAGGCCAGCATAGGCGCAGACTACGGGGGGGCATCGAAGCTAGGGCTCGTGCCCCCCCCCCCCGAGCCCGGGTCATGATCCTTACCGAGACGCTGTTTACGCACCATGTAACGAGTTTCTAGCAGTGGCACGTAAACAAAATAATGCCCACGTTGCCTTTATTGACAAAATACATGAAAAATGGAATCCGAGCGTTTTTTCGAGGGGGAAGGGGGGGGGGGGGGGGGGGGGGTTTTCCTGCTTGCACGGAAAAGCACCCCCCCCCCTCCCCAAAGAACTTCTCAGTCGCCCGCCCGCCCGCCCGCCTGCTCAGACATATTATAATAGGATCAGATGGACTGACAAATGTTTCTTACCAAGGTAGCTGAGCCTCTTGGACTGCATCTTTGTTCTAACCATCTCCAGTGGACTGATGAGAGTTGCTGAGAACACTAGACACCACAGTAGAAAAACCAAAAGAAAAAAAAAATGTATAGGAAATATTTACAAGATGCCAAGCAGAACAACTTGCTTGTTTTACACACTACAAAATTCAAATAAATGTTGAAAATACAATGCTATTTATGAAGTAAATTCAGGGTTCAAGTCTGCAGTATCGCATAAACAAAAATAGACTTGCAAACTGTAAGTTAATAAGTAAAAAAAAAAGAAAAAAGGTACACAATCAGCTTATTTAATGGTGTTTCATTGTTTCTATTTGTAACACAGATGCAGAAACAAACGTGCAGATCAGGCACGTAGCCAAAGGAGGGGCCCATGGGTGCCTGGGCACCCTCCCTTCGCCTCTCCTCCCCCTCCTCCTCTCCCCACTCCCCCTCATACAGTGTTTTGTCATGGGTTGGCCCCCTCTCCGAAACAAAATCCTGGCTATGTGCTTGGTGCAGATATATGCTGGAATGGTCGGCAACTAAATAAAAGCTTTTGCAGAAAATAGCCTTTGGATATGGATCCGAATGAAATTGATAAAAAGCTATTTAACAATTGTCACCCTTTTATCTTATATTCAAAACCCTGCTACAATATGCATCATATGAGACATCCTTCCTCCCTCATTTCTCTCTCACGAAGGTGATACTAGTTAAACAATTCTGCTGGAACGACCTCTCACTTCTCTCCTCTTCTCTCCTCTCCACCCCACACCTCTCCTCTTCACGCAAGGCTGGGCAGCATAGAAGATACATGTATCCAACAGTATCTTTAGATACAGTTAAGCATCTTGTATTAAGTATTGTTTGTTAGCCTACATAAAGCCAGTCAGGCCTCCTGCTTTCTACAATATTTGGGATGTGATTTCAGCAAGATATCCAAGCACCTAAGATAGAAGTAGTGAGTATCGGTACCGGAAATACATTTTTATGCATGTATCTTGTATTGCTATCTAAAATAGAATTTTCATGGGTATCAGTATAGACCGGCAAGCTGTTTACAAACAAGCCCGCGTTTGCCCACACCTGGTGTGGGCACTGCGCGTGCGCAGAAACCGAATTCGCGTGAAGGGAACCGTGTACGCATGCGCAGTACCGTCGACAGCGCCACCGCAGTGGCGTGACATCAGGGCCGCGTGTTGGTCTATAGAAGATACAAGTTTGAAGTACCTTGCCCAGTCTTGTTAAACCCCAAACATACAAGAAAACAATACTTTTAGAGTTAATTAACTGTATGAAATTTGCAGGACTCCTGAATTTAGGATAAGAAATTTTCTTTTATTTTGTCAGGGTATGATGGGAAAAATAAGCTTTATCATTGATGGGATATGTGTTGTTCATAAATAAAAAGCAAAGAATAAAATTTCAAAATTGAACACAGATTAGTAAATTGGCCTTTAGGCATTTCCCTCCATCACTGTTACTCCAAGCTAACATTTTGTATACATTTATTGGTACCCAACAGACGCCCAAATAAAGGTGAGAAGAGGGTCCATGGATACTATTGTCCTTGTCATTCAGAAACCAAAATTCTTAGTAATCTGGAATGTTCTGGAATAAACAAATTTGCTCAGCATATATTTCTTCTTAAAGTAAAACAACTATTATTAATGAGAGTGTAACAAAATCACTGCGGGTCAGCAACTGACCTCTAGCAGTGGCCCCTGACATAGCAGGAATCCAGATAGGCTGCGACGCCAGTTGCACCTCCATGCGAGCACACAAGATTCCTCTGATCTGGTCATAGGCTGTGAAGTAGAGCACGGTCGCTGGAACAGCCATTACTCTGTAAAGGAGACATACAGAAATAAGAAGGGGACAAAGAAGCATGCACACACCTTTGGCATATTTCTTACAAAGCATCAAGTTGTGTCACTTCAATGCTTCTCCTTAAATACAAGAAATTTGTGACTTGCCACATGTCAAACTAATAATAATTAAAAAAAAATTATTATAAAATGTAAACCATCTAATTGTGCACACAAACAAATTCTCATAAGCAGTTTTGAATATATGGCACCCTTGAAGGATTGTGAGGGTTCAATAGACAAATAAAGCCCAAAAATCCTGTTCGTAGCCACAAAGTGAAGTCACAAAAAAATTACTCTACAAGTGTTTTACAGTTGTTTATGGTACCCCTATCAAATTATAGAGCTCTTTGCACAGTAAGCATAATGCTACAGTGCAAAGACATGGAACCTGATGAGTGCGTGAGTGAGCTAATACTTTACCATAACTCAATACATACCCTGTTAATGAATATACTGTAATAATTTGTAAAAGAGGCACAAGAGCTGCACTTCTTTTCTGATTATGAAAAAAATACACTTAACAGATTCTCAGGTAATATAATAATGAGGCTTCTTTGTCTGAAACTCAAACAGTCACATGAAAGAGGACTCAGAACAAGCAGGTGTCTGTACACTGTGTTAAGTTCATCAAATTTGCTGAATGGATGTTTAAAGAGCAGGAAGCTATACTGCCTTAAAATATGAACTGGAGACCAGAGTCTCCACTGCAAAGGGACAATTTGGCCGGGGAAGTACTACTGCTATCCAGGGGCCCTATGCTACACGGCAGGACCAAGCGGAACCAAAGGACTGGGACAATGCCGTCTGCTGCGATTGGTCAGCAGTGCAGCGGTGACCAATCACAGCAGAAAATGTTGTTCCGGTCCCTTAGTTCCACTTGGTCACTCCGTGTACCTTAGGAACGCTGGGATCTTCAATGGGCACCATGCAGTAGTGATTATGCAAGTGCACACCTGCTGACACTCATTGTAAAAGCTTGGTTTGCTGGGCAAGTTGGTAGTGGACATTCATATTAAAAATAGTGCAAAAGAGACGGGACAAAAAGACGAAGAAGCGTTTGTCCTGTGTGCTTCTTCGTCTTTTTGTCCCGTCTCTTTTGCGCTATTTTTAATATGAATGACTGCTGACACTCGTCCATATATAGACCGAAATGAGTGGAAATTTAACCCCTGCTGGTCTCGGTCTGCAGCTTGGAATTTGGCTCCCTGTGGGGTTGGGAGCAGCAAAGGTTTATGCTGGAAACCTTAGCAGCACAAGCTTGCATATGTCTTGAACTAAATTTAATTCACATGCCCTCAGATTTCTGAGAGACAAAGCTTGGCGATAGGCAACCGTGACAGTTGTGCACACAAAAAACACAGCGAAGCAAACACTATAGACGTTCATATTTATCATGTCTTACCAACAACCCAAGATAATGAAGAATTTTGTTAGCCTACGGACGTATTTAAGAATTTACTGAATGCGCAAGAGTATACACTACACATTGTTGAAAAACCCTGAGACTGCAGGTAAACGACACAACACTAAAACGTCATGTTTTAGTGTTGTGTTGTTTACCCGCAGTCATGGGTTTCTTTCAGCCACGTGCAATGTATACCAGCTCGTTTGCGTCCTTACATTTTGTTCAGTATACACTATATGTCCACAAACTGTTTTCAGGACTTATAGTGGCATGGGAGTTTCCAGGAAGGTGTTCTACTTTCAATCCATACTGCATAGTGAACCTTTAGCAAACCTGGAAGCAAACAAGCGTCAGGCAGCTTCGTAGGTGACAACATTGCTCTAAAACGCTTCTGCAAGTCTTTATGTGATGCTTCTGTATCAAGCTCTCAAGAAAATCCTGCTTAGGCAGATCAAGCTTCAAGCAAATCAGAGCTCTACATCATCTACGAACTCACAAGGTTGGAGGTAAGCCACTCCAGAGAGATGTGATGCCTTCATTTCTTGCTATCTTTATAAAAGCATCCTGCAAGTTGAGGACACACAAGTAAATACAGTCGGTAAGCCATGTGTCAGCTACCCAACAAGTCTGCAGCAGTTGTTTCTGGGGTCCTCTTTACAAGCCTTTATGACAACAAGAATTTCAGTACTATTGGCACAAGGGCTTTTTTTTGGCAGACCATGTGTAAGATGGAAAAGAAATGGGAGATTTAGAAAGGGAATGCTTGTGAAGCTTAATGTCACTTCACATGTTCACACATGTTGAATAGAAAGCATGCATTAACAAAAAAGCAAATTGCTGTTTTTTAGTAATCTATAGAGTCCCTGATAAGAGATTTTTCATTCTGATCCCATTATGTGACAAGTGTGAAAAGTTTTCACTATACTCTGTTTCACATAACTTGGCAAAATGTGGAAGGTAGGCCACCATGATCCAATGAAAGCATCAGATTTTAAGCCTTTGGCAATACTCTTATATGTATTTTTAACATTTCATAGAAACACGTATAACGCTGCACCAGATAGGTGGGATGAAGAAGCCAGCTGGTGTAGCAACATTACGGATGGTTATAAGAAACTGTTCACATATTTGTCAATGCCGTTTTTTGGCTTGCTAATTTGGTTTATGAATCCACGCCAGGATGTTTGCTTGAACTCAACATTTTGATTGCCCTGGTTTAATTACTCGGAAGTAATTTAGATCATGAAAGGGCTGAACAAAACCGGAACACGCATGAAAGGAAACATACATCCTTTGGTGATGCAAGAAGGCATCTGAGAAAATACATGATAAATGGACAAAGCAAGGGCAAGTAAACATACAATGAAAGCCTCACAGCTTCGAAAGCAGTAAGGGCAACAAATACAAATGTGACAGCATTACTATTTGAATATATGGTATACAAGGCAGCATAACTAACAAACACTAAACTAAAAAAAAAAAAAATTAGTGTTTTGGGAAACGCCTGATTCAGGTGTTTGCAAATTGTGTGCTCCTTTTCCCCAACCTAAAAAGAAAGCCCACGAAATATAAAAACATAGGACATGACAACATGCCCATATGCAGCGGGCACATTGTGACGTTGCAGGCTTTTTTTAGGCCAGAAAAAATCACACAAAAAAACCCTATTTTAAACACCTCTATTGGATGTTTCTCAAGGCTCTACAATTTTCCCGTTGACATTTGGGCCCTTATATCAATGTATAAAAAGTTCACCAATTAGTCTTAATTTTAATGAACCAAATAATCTCAATAAAGAAATACTGGCCCTTTCAAAACACTTTTGATAAAAACTAACAATTGGTTAATTTTCTAAACGAGATAGCATTCTTTTTCAGCAGCCCCAGTGGAAAAGTTTGCTAACGTGAAAATAATGTGCGTGCATGGAAGAGTGATAAGAGGGTAAATAGAGAAAGCACAAAATTCTGTATGTTCCCCAAGAGGAATCAAACCCCGGAGCCCAAGACTGCGAGCCCGATGCTCCGTCACTGCGCCCAGGGGAAGACATTGTAGAGAGGGTTGTTAAATGCGACAACATTTCGTCTGCTGAATGACACCGTAGAACGTACAAATAGCACGAGCCGGTAGCTTAGACTTTTGCTCCCGCTGCACAAGGGCTCATGCAGTCAAAGCGCAGCTGTGCGCAAGGAACTTGCACTCGTGTCTGCCGTTGTGCAATATTCCACAGCCCAACAGAGGGCACACTTTCGAAAGGGGTCTATGATGGAAGTCATATGCTTGCTAAAAGTGCTCTGGTCGTCTTCACAATGACTGAAAAAGAAATTGCTGAACAGGAAAGACGGTCCACTAAAGTGTAGCATGTTCGTTATGTCGATGAAGTGCCGGGAAAGAGAGAACAGCATGTGGCGAGGGAGAGGGAAGCAAGGTGCACTAGTTCTGGCCTTCATAAAAGAAACATTTGAAATGCTACTGCATTTCGACAGTCTGCAGCGAAGCACAGTAGGAACTCAGTCCCGTTTTTTTTTTTTTTTTTTTTTTTTAAACTTGATGCATGATATAGTTAGGACACCCTATATGTAGACCAGATTATGCAAAGCTTTACTTATTATTTCTGATAAAGGTTACAAAAAGGTTGATCATGAATGTCTAATCACCTTTTCAAGGGATACTAAATCGAAATTTGGATTTTACAAAATAAGGCTGCAGAAGCATTGAACGGGACGCTACAAACTCCAAAACATCACTCATACATCGATACCTCAAACGGATGGCCATACTTTTGGAAAAGGGCACAATCAAGCGAGGTCTCTGATGTCATTGTGCTCCGGGAGAATTTGAGAATGAGGAGAAGCGGCCTCGCCTTCTCTCCTCCTCGCTTCGGTTCACCAGCTCGATGGGATATAGCGAGGAGAGGGAATGGGAATCATGACCTGCCTTGTCTCGTTGGCCTTGTCAGCCGTGTTCAATTTGTGCCCTTTTCCAAAAAAAATATCGCGATCCGTTAAAAATATTGCTGTATGACTGATGTTTTTGGGTTTTGCAGCGTCCCGCCTATCCGTCCAGCCTTGTTTTGTGAGCTCGATATCTCGGTTCAGTATCCCTTTAAAGCAGAAAGAAAATGTAAGGACTACGTTTTGAGATGTGGCATTGCTGTGGTGGTGATAATTTGCCATCTGCCAAGTTTTGTTAACATGGAGTACACTAGCTACTGCTGAGAGATACAGAGGAGTGTAAACGAACAAAAATAAACCTTTGTTTGGTCAAATCCTATTACATCATCACTTACAAGCTATACAATGATTCTGGTATCACTTGTTGCAGAAGTGAGCATATATTTTCCAGTTCATTACAAGTCAGATAAGTGTAAATTCTAAATAAAGTATTTAATCGCATGAGTAGTAGTAATGCTTAACGTAATGCAGAATTACTTTCGGTGCCGTAAAGACAGCACCGTCAGTCTAAAGTTAAGAATTCAGGAGAAGCTCCGCCCAGAAGCACCATGCACCCGCTTCAGGTCCCTCCGCTGCTGAGAAAATAGTTATCCTCTGCGCATTCCCTGCTTTGTGACATTGGCTTTAGGCGGAAAGCATGGGAACAAAGCTCGCTGCTGATCGAGCGAGCAGAAGTGACACTCTAGCGGAGTGATATGAACACCCTTAAGGGTCATTTTCTGCCGAATCCTTACCCTGTCACAAAGGATAGTCGTGCTCTCGCACTCATCTTCAGTCATTACTGCAAAACGGCACCAACACACCTATGGGTGGCTGCACACTTGACCATTTCCTTTTGTTCACGAACGGACCGGATGTGCGAGAGAAGAAAATTGAGCCAAGTTTTTCTTACAACAAAAATTAACGATGCATCATCGAATGCCGCGTCTCCGTCCAAATGTAGCTCTATCGGCCGAAAACCTGGTGCGAAAGTTTGAGAAGTTATCATTATCTAATTAAGAAGCTATAAAAAAACTTTTTAAAATTTTTTATTAAAAAAAGATTGGGCTTGTTTCTGGTACCAGACACAATTCATCTTCCCGTATTTGCAAGCTTTGTAAGCAGCTCATTGAAAAATTTCAGAAAATTGTTTATTAATTTTTAATTGGATGACAGTAAAGGCTCTGTTATACTCAGATGTTGAGCGCAGCAAACATTGCGTAGCGCAGAACGTAGACCTTTCATTGGCCGGCGAGCAGGAACTCAATATCTACGACCAACCAGTATCGATGTTCACTGCACTCACCGCGTTTCATATGCTCGACATCAAAGTATAACAAAGCTTTAAGCGCTGAAACCTTGGCCTCTGGTCCGAACTGCTAGCGCTATATTTGTACGGAGACTGAGCGCTTGGTGTAGTTATTTCTGCAGTGTGAAAAACATAGTTGTCTTTTCTCCCAAGCACCCGGTACTTCCGAGCAGCTGTGGCCTGTTTGACACTCCATAGAACTATAGAATTGACTAGCTGTACAGGATTCTTCTTCCTTTATTCACTACAAAGGTGCTTTCTTATGTTAACTTTACTGCTGTTAAAACTTTAAGTGCATGTGCATTAAAATCTGGTTGCCTCTGAATTGGTTTTAGGTATTCTCGGTTCCAACAAAAGAAAGTATAGTGAGAAAAAAACAGTTCAATGATATAGTCGGATGTAATATCACTACTCGATCATGTTACTTTTCGTTTGTGCAATTCATGCTGCATCTGTTCCTTTCACATGACATCCAGCTGGTTGTTGTGCATCAACCCATCAGGCAAGCAGATATTTCATTACAAGTTAGAAGAGAGATTGTCGTCTATTATTATAATACAGTAGCGAAGCAAAGAATGTAAACACTCACAAATGTTCCATTGAAGTGTCCTGGTCGCTTGTACCATTGCCCTCCAGAGGCCATTGAGTGCATGTTGTGTCCATTGCCATTTCCATTGCCATTCAGGCAGTAGCACATGTGCTCCATCAGGCCATTGCAATAGAGGAAGCACTTGTTTTTAACGAACTGCTTCTGTTGCGCCTGAAGTCGTATCTTTACGACATCCAACGGTGTCACTTTGAAAAAGACAAACACAGTGTCACGTTGGAAAACACAACAAACTGCCCTTTACGTAATGAACGCTACGCACTAGATATTTTTTACATGCATAAAGAGCTAGAGTCACTGTTTTCATTAAACAAACTTTGCAAGCGGCGGTTCAGACAGATCACAAGCGAGCAGCAACAGCAACAAAAATTGCGTGAGAAAAGAATCACAGAGGTTTATTTTGTTTCTGCCAAGCCAGAGCGATGTTTAGTGACTAGGTGAAGACACTCTGGAGCGTGCCGTGATTAGTGTGCAGCCTTCGAACTCTCCTTATCAGGGAGAAAACGGTTTCGAACTCTCTATCAGTGAAATATATGTTTACATGGAAGCAGAAAAATCTCGGCACAGCCATTTTTGCGAGAAAACGGGGCGACCGCTCTCTGGTTGCCGCGGAAGTTACGCTTTGCGACATAAGCCGAAGTGTCCTTTTGCGATTCTCGTGTACACAAAGGATAAATCAAACTGAAGGACGAAATACCAACCCAAGAGCGATGTTACCAAGGCTCCGGTGCAGGAACAGATCATGTGTTGCACAGGCGTAATATTGTCCTGCGCTGCCATTGTTCGTCTCCGCTGGGCGCCGATGACAAAATTAGGCTAGGTCGCAGTTTATGGAAGCTCAGATGTTTCATAACAAACTCATCTTTTAAGGTAAATAACGATGGTAGTCAAAGAAAGTGTTGTACATAGCAGAGCCGGAAGGGTTCCCCACATGGCTCAGACAAAACGCTTGGAGGAGGAGAAGAGGGCGCTCCGCGATTTAAACCAGTGTTGTTGGACGGAATGTTAAATTCGCTAAGCTAGTCCAGTTTTTGTAGGCTCCCGCGGTTCTAGCTTGTTCCAGTTTTTATTAGGTTTTTGAGTCAGAACTGACGTTGTAAAAATTAACATAGCAAGAAAAGGAGACTAACTAGATATAGAAATAAACGAGCTTTTAATTGTGCGGTGACCACTGCTGCAGCGCGAGTACGGCCACTGGACGGCCATTTTGCATGTTGAAAAATAATTTGTCTGGAGCGTTGCGGAGGCTGGCGGCAGCGCACAACAAGAGACATTTTCTATTTATTCGTCGTCATTCGTTGAAGGAGTTATTTAAAACGCTATGCAAGCCGTGAGACATGCTGTGGAGAATACGTTGAAATTTTTTCGGAAAAGCAGTGCCCAGTGCCGCAAGGGAAAGGCACAACTCGTTGAAATCAAGTTTTGACGGTCTCGCGGCGTAATCAAAGCTTCCTTGACACGCCGAAGCGCTGCGTCTCTGTGCTTTACGCTTGGACACCGATCAAGAATCAACCCCGTGTGGATGTGTTTTGCAAGTCAAATGTGCGTAAAGCTTTATGTGCCTCTGGAGCAGCATTTTACTTTACTCTGACGACTGTATTTGTAACTTGCGGCACTTGCGGCCCAGAAACGAGTTTGATCCAGCGTCCAGTGGTGACGGATGAGGGGGGAATTGGTATGTCTTTTTTTCGTCGTTAGATGGTTTACAAAATGCCGCGCACAAGAGCTCCTCATCACTGATCAGTGCTCGCTCATTATCAACCAGCTTAATTTCACTTGACGTTTGAGCGCGGCTCGCCTAATTGTGATTGGCCAACAGATTGGTGGCACATGACCATATGGGCCGCACTTCAGAGATTTTCATTCTCGCCGTCTTGTACTTTTGTCTTCGAAAACCCTCCTTGCTCCACATCGTTGCTCCATTTGTGCTGCCATGTGACAAGGGCCGTACCCAGAAAAAAATTTCGGGGGGGGGGGGGGGGGTTCGGGGACAACGGCGGCCATCTTGAAAATGTCTATTGTCTTATTTTCGCCTATGAATCATGCATCGGTGGCATATAATGGAGAGTTATAGACCTTTTCATTTCAGTAGTTGCCTGACCGGCGGGTAGAGGGCGCTGGCGCACTCGCCACCATTAGGTTGCTTCAATTTGGTCGGTTTCGGTTTCAACGTGCACACGATTGTGATGCTGTTTCATGTTACTTTCGATTAATTTTGCGATATAAATGTCTTTCTTGTAGCACAAAGCGAATGAAACAATACTGTTGAGCCACTTGGCAAGCCACGAAGGGGTTTCGAGCCTAAATTGCGATCTTTTTTTACGAACACTATGTGCGTCTGATTCCGTCCATCGTTAACTTCGGCCAGGTTCGGCGGTGAAACAACTGCACTGATGCACAGGGAAAAACACCATTGTCCACGGCCGTACCCACGGACACTAGTCTTCAGAAGAAAAAAAAAATAAAGAGCAGGACAAGCTCCGCCTGCAGCGTGCGCTCGTTGCCTGCAGCCGTGCCTTGGCTGTGCGTGCACCGAGCGGTACGGAAGGTAGATAGCTCGCGCTCAAGTCAGATATTGAACTGATCATCTTATATTGCAACAGACTATATTGCATCAGTGCTTAGTGAAAAAGCAGGTCGACAACATGATTAACAATCTGCTGAATCACCAAAAACAGATGAACTGACGAGTTTACAGTTCGATGTTTGGTTTCCGTACACCAACCTTTTCTAACTTCGAGACTGGAAACTTCTTTTATAATGACTAGAAAAGTTTTATATAATCAGGTAGATAATATAAAAAAGTGATATTGTCCCTGCCTGTATTATTTAAAGAAATTAAGCGCTCGAGAAATATTTTGATCGACCAGCGTAGGCTGACTAGAAATTTCTTTAACTAAAGTACTCATTAACAGCATTTCAAAATATTGGCGTTATGAAATAAACTATATGGACATTTATATGGACATTTGCTTACGACGTTCTCAAGGTATGAGAATGGTGGGATAAGTGAATGCCAGACTTCAAATAAAGTCTGATATTCATCTTCCATAAAATTTGCCGAATGAATTGAAGAGCGAAAAAGAAATTATCTCCGATAAGTTTGGCTGAAATCGAACGCCAGGCGCCGCCCAATGGGCCTGTGTAGAAAGCTGTTCACTGATTTGAAACAATGCGCTTTGCACATTTTGACGTCGCCAGCTACTGAAAGTAACTCCCTATTTGCCGTCGACAACCGGCTGCACTCAGGTGATTTTCATATAGAAGGATTCTTTACAGCGTCACATTTTGTGAATCATAGGCACTATCGAGTTGTCTGTGACAGTTTCTTACGCGGGGAGTCCAAATATTTGTGTTGAAATAAATTAATTCAAACTGCATGGTTATATTGAAAGATGACTCAAGCAACTGAAAGACTATGGACATGGGACTAAGCACGATACGCTATTCCGTGGAATTCATAGATATGCCGATAAAGCGAATGCTTATATCACACACGCGATTAAGAACCTAAAACCGATATGGGTGTGATATTGCGAACAAAAAGTTGCCTAATGTTAAGGTACCATTATTTATAGGTGTAGCATAAAAAAAAAACAAATTTCAACTAAACGTTTGTTCCCGCGTCTTGTTCACAAGTTCCCTAGTGTAATCAAAAGAAACTGTTTTCGATCTGTTGTAACTACAAAACACCATGCTTCCAGGAAAAACACGTGGCTAATTACGCTGAGTGTTTTTGTGTCCTCCCTTGACACCAATGCGCACTCATATATATAATAATTACATCAGGCTTCCTATTGCAAATGTTCCGCCCTTATTAGTAACCAAACCTCAGTGCTCGTAAGTTATTGGTATTTGAACCCTCGAGGCTCTCTTCAAGTCATATATGTAGTCAATCTGCGTAAGTGCTAACGCTGATTCCTGTTCCTATAAAGCCTTTTCACACGTATCCCGCACGCCGACGGTAAAAAAATATTCAAAACGTGTTACAAAATTAACTACAGAAGTTGCGAGCACAATGATGTAATGAAATTGCATGGTAAGTTTAAGTATCGAACGACACTTTACGGAGTAAGGCAAGAGACGCGGTGAAGCGCGACGAAAAACACGAATTCAACGCATCCGTCAAGGCGCGGACGGGAGAGCGGAGCAACAAGTTGAAGCAACCTAATGGCGGCCGCATCACGTGATTTCAAGATGGCAGCGCCCATGCGGCGGAGGGTGAAAAGGTCTATAGCAAACCGGAGAACCGGTCCCGGTTTGGTACCCGGTAGCCGACCGGCGCCACTGCGCGTGCGCAGAGGTGGAGATTAAAATCGGCTGGCGGCAAGTGCACCGACCAGGGCCGTACGCAGAAAAAAATTTCGGGGGGGGGGGGGGGGGGGGGGGCAGAACCCCCTAACCCCCCCCCCCTGGTTACGGCCCTGCATGTGACCCATTAGAGTAGATTTGGAACTTAGCCGTGGTTAATAGTACAGATGTCGCGAACCTGCCCAGGTTCGTGTTGGACCAAGTTCGGCTTTTTCGAACTTTCGATGTGATGCGACAAAGGTTCGACTGAAATTCAAATTTTGTGCGCATGCGCGAAAATTAAAAAAAAGAAAAGGAAAATCCAGTTGACTACACCTAGCGGAGGAAAAGTGAAATATTTGTTGGGTGTATTGGCATAACACGTTCACATTGTGGTAGCTTTTGAAGGTGCACTAAAGACGTCTCTGAGGTCGTCTGTTCTTGGTGGTAACTTACCTTACGGACTTCAAGCATCCTAGAAATTAAAAAAAAAAAAGAAAAAATGCTTGTGCGACATCTATTTTCCTACTAAAAATGTGACAGAACTTCGTGCCACACCCCTTTCTGAGTGGAAAAACCTGGAGCACGAAATTCAGTGGAGGCGCCAGCGGCTTCTCCGGTGCCGGCGCCTCCGCTTGCAATTGGCTCACGCGCGCCATCGCCACGCCGCCGGCGCCTCCGCTGAATTCTGTGCTCCAGGTTTTTCCGCTCAGAAAGGGGCGGGGCACGCACTTCGATCACACTTTTAGTAGGGAAATAGACGTCGCAAAGAGCATAATTTTTCAATTTCTGGGATGCTAAGATCCCGTAGACTGAGTTATCACAAGGACAGACGAACTTTCTTTATTCTTTATTCAGGTAGCTCCTGCAGCGCCGTTGAGGCATTATTGCAGGGGGCGAACAACATAGAAAAAAACATTTCTGCATTTGCGGCACAAACAGTTTCACCACTTAAATTGTTCCAATCCCTAATAGTCCTAACAAAGAAAGAATTTTTGCACAGTTCCGTCCTGGTGGAATATTCACGTATTTTGTGGATATGATCTTTACGTTGGGAAATATAGTAAGGGGGTAGAAGGTAATGAAAACCGTTAATACCAGTGTGTTTATTATAAATGCTATATAGAAATTTTAAGCGCAAATTTTTCCGCCTGAATGTCAGCAAATCCCAGCCTAATGTACTCTTCATGTCCGTGACGCTCGAAAAGCGAAACTCACGACTTGGGGTGCGGTGGGGGCAAGTGGGGGAGGGGGTTCAAACTTCAAAGTGTATGCTAGGTAAACACCACCCTTGAGAAGAAGGCCGTAGCGCTTTGAGTGGTTACGTCACAATGTCGGAGGAAGGAAGTCTATCTACGTGAAAAAAATGTTTACTGTCTAGCGGCGGGGTGATGTTCGTGCGCTTTTATCCGACATTAATATACTTTTTAAAAGCGCAGTCTTGTACCGTTTCTTATATATATATAATATAAACGTAATATACAACGCGTTACCAATGTTGAAGTTACCAAATTTATATTTATGAGTATCCCCGTAACCGCGGGACTACGTGCAGTCCCGCAGCTCCCCACACTTTTCGAATGAACCGGCCGGCTCCAAGGAGGTTGTAACTTATAAGCAACGGTTATAAGTACTAGGAGGGGGCACGTTGCAATATTGGGGAAGCCTAGTCATAAAAAGTTTAAACGATGTTGTGGCCAACGTGACCGTGGATCTCTCTGGCAATTGGTGCGCGTGACATGTAACATGTGAGTTGGATGCTTGATTGTAGAAGGATTCCTTGCAGGCTTGCGCGCTCCGTCGGGTAGGTTTTGTCAGGTCGAAGGCTAGACGAAGGCTAGCTACGGTCACGTGATCTGGTCACGTTGGCCTGATAAGTGAAGAGAGTAAGGAGAAAAATGGGGAAGAGGCGGGGCGTCAAGGGAGCATGGTTTGTGGAGCCTACGCGGCTGACGTCATACCGTCTCCTACCCTTCTATCCTCCTTGACCGGCTCCGATGCGACATTCTTCCTCATACGGGCTCCGATTCTGGTAAATTTACGTTGTGCGTGAGCTGCTGGCTGTCTGAAAAGGAACGCCAAGACATTTCAGAAAAGAAGGGAACCGAAAAAAAAAAATCCAGCCATCGCCACAGGGGGCGCACACAATTAAGAGATGGGCCGACGACGTAAGCCTTTCGTCGCCGCTGCTCTCGTGTGTGGTACTTATGAGACTCGTTTCCTTCTTCCCGTCGTATGTCTGTCGTCACCGCAGTCTCGGGTAGTTGTCACTTACGGTCATTTTACCCATTTTTTATCCAACACTGGCATTTTATGGCACTCAGGTCCCTGCGTTGCTTGGGCACTCCACAGAAGCGTAGACACGCTTCTGTGGAGTTAGGATCAGGCGAGCTCCTCTCACTTTCGTACAAAAGAAGTTACGCCCCTGGAACGTTGCGGGAACCGGTCGTCACCTCCGTCAAAAAACCTCCGATCTGCTATCTTCTACACATAAACGTTTGCAAGCATGGCGTCCCAACAGGTACCCCACGCGTGCAAGCACGTGCAGCATGCGGGTGCAAGTAGCTTTGGCAGGTTGCGATTGCGCGTGCTTGCTCACACGAGCAGTAAGACTTTTCCAAAAGTGCTTTTGATCGATTCCATTTTCAGTGCTCGTGCGTATGGCGCGTGATTTGCTCTCTTTCCGAAGCGACAAACGTGCGCGTGCTGGGCTGAGGAGATCGCACGCTGGGCTGAGCACTTTGAAATATAGGAAGTATTCACTGGCGGCCATAGCTGTGTGCACGACTGCTGAGCGCGTGCTGATGGCGAGCTTCCACAGTTCTTTTGTAACGTGCATTCCGCACTCTCAAGATTGCCGGTCTTAGCAACCTATGATTGTATGCTCGTTCAGAGCATGCGCTCTAGACATCACCCACAAATATGGCGCCCAGTGAATACTGCTTATTGGAATGGTGTCCATTCTCTTCGTTAACCCTTTCTTCGTAGGTGGTCAAGGTTAGCGTAACCTTCGCAGCGCTGTCAAAGCCGGTCAAAGCTACTTGTGCGTAGGCGCGCGGATGAAACGCAGAAGTCAGATGCTCGCGCAACATTGCGCACGGCACTGGAAACTAAGGGGTGGTGCCTGATGCGCGCGCAAGCATATGCAACATGCGTCAAATGGTCCATTTGCAACCCCTAATAGCCCTTTGACAACGCAGCAAAAAAGCCTTGACGCCTACTCCGTAGACCCGGCAAGTGCACGGGAGTCAGAGGTTTATCGGATTTCACTTACCTTGTTAGTCCTTGAAAAAACCTCTTTATTTCTACCGGTGAGAGAGAACATATATATTTTTAATCACCACTTTCTGATAAAAACAACGAACAAAGACAACTCAAGAGATTTTCAGTTCTATTCAAGAAGACGACATCAGTTTAGCTCCGCTTCACGTTTCATGGACTGTATGTAGTTTACGATAAGCAAGCAGAACACACAACATGAAAACAGGTCCAATCGCATTGTTGATGCCAGAACTGACGAGTCTGTGGAAAACAGATATGTTGGACTTTTTGTAACACTTCCTTTGTTGAACATCGTAAAGCAAATATTAACATATATACAAATACATCAATCACGCACGCTTTACATTTAGTATATACTATACTTTGCTAACTTTGACGTGGGCTCAGCTACATGACGTAAGCTTAGCTTTGTCTTTCTTAAATGTATCCACACTGTACAGCGTATGTCAGGCAACCGTGTAATATTATTACAGTTAATGCTTACTGAAATCTTCTAGCACAACAGGGATTTGTCGCACTCACAGCTATCAAGTTATAAACTAGCGAGCGAATGTTAATTGGCATTGTAAATTTATTTTACTGTCAGGTTACTTTTTTCGCGCTGTAAAAATTACATGTTTGGTGCGCCGGCATTCCGAGACCTATGAAGCATTCAAGGATGTGCGATAATTTTAAAGCTTAGTCATACAAAACTCAGCGTTGTGTAGGTTGCTTTGTCCTGCATAATTTTTGGGCAAAAAACTGAAGTATCCGATTTTGTTATATATGTATGTCAAAAGTGGTTCTTTTCATCACGAATGCTGTTTCTCGTTCCTTTCATTCATGTTTGACTTAATATTCTGACATGAATATACTGATATCATCACCAAACTTGGACAAAAATGTTTACAAAATACATGAAGGATAAGTTCATTTAGGCATTGAATTTTAATCGATTCCAAGAGCAGTCTTCGCTGCAACTGGTTACGGAAATTTTATTTTTAAATTTTATGAATTCCCGAGACCGTAAGGCACAAATGTTTTTCTTTTGCAAGCATAACATCAAAACAGAGAGCCTGACCTGGTTTGGTCTAGCTAAAAACAATTACGTGGCAGTGATGAAAAAAAAAAAAAATCGGCATGAACATTACGGCGCAGAGACAACAGGTTGACTGCCGTACTATAAACTTTATGCTAAAAAAAAAAAAAACACTTTGTAGCATGGAGGCAGAGTTTGTGGCCACACTGATAGTTGATGAGTAACAATATCCGTAGAATGTCCCATAGCATTTGGTACCCTAACAAGATCCTCCAGTGACACGTCGAACACAAATACTTTCAAGCAAACTGTGTTCAGTGGCAGCGAAGGGCATGAAATATGTCTAACGACTTGTGCGAATCGCCCAATTTTGGTCTGTACACAGTTCACTCTGTCATTTGTTCGCAATATTCAACACCATTTACATAAAGTCACTTGTGGCGTACACGCACATATATGGTCTTTTGAGCTTCTACGTCATTCACGGTTCCTTTGACACGTATCACCGATGGTCCATGTCGCTCTCGTAGGCACCAAAGTATGCGGTCGACCTGGACATGGTGTTGTACATGGAAGGAGGGCCCATCATCTTCGGGCCCGGATGATAGGAGAGTGGCACTGCGTATGGCGGGAAACAGGTGCACGTGCTTGGCGGGGGCTTGAGGCACGTGCACTTGACGTGGCCGTTCATGACGGGCACAGGCCCCGACGTGTAGCGAGGCCGCGATCTCCGAAGTCTCACAATGCAGATGATCATGATGAGTATACAAACGAATGCCACGACGCCAGCGACAATCCCGATAATCATCGTGTCCACTTTCGTGAGGACGCTCTGTCCGCCGGCCGGACGTGGACGCGTCGTCGTGGGCGCTTCGAAAATGATGTCGGGTTCGTTGCGGTACGGTGTTGTCTTGCGTAGGATGTTCGTAGTTGTCGGATTCCGCGACGGAGAGGTTCCCGTGGTCGTCTTGTGCCGGCGTGAAGTTGCCGGTGACTCCTCGTTTTCTTCTTCATTGTTGTCGTCATCGCAGAATAGGTCGTCCATTTGGAGGTTTGAAACGAGAATTTTGTTCAAGTGATGTGGGTGAACGCATGCTACATTGACGAGTGACTGCTTGCCGTCTTTTCTACGTAGTCCCTGGTGATCTTGGATCCAGCGCCAAAATGGCAGCAAGTTGCAATCGCAAGTTATGGGATTTTGTTGGATGCCTCCTACTCTGAGGACAGCCTGTTTGCTGTCGATTGCTGCTAAAAGCTGAGTACTCACTCTTTTGATTTGATTGGAATCGGCGGTTAGAATACGTTTGGTGGAGAGCGGCAAAGGAAGGAAAATGGTCGTTGGAAGGTCGCTGATACCTGTACCGGAAATAGACACTCGGAATTCTGGACTTCGGATGCCAGCGAAGGCACTCGACGACAAGCCAGTGATGCTACTTCCTGTGACGAAAAGCTTGTTGAGCCGTGGGCTGTAGGCTTTCTGCAACTGATCCTTGAACATGCGATCTTTAATTTCTATCCCCAAACTTTCAAGACCTTCAAACGGTTCGAGGCACTTCCGTGTTTCTAGAGACTGAAGGCTGGGATATCCGTACAAATCAATCTTCGACACCTTCGACAACGGAATCAGGGCTTCGCACTCAAGTTGGCTTAGCTTGGGAAGCCCGGAAAACCGGAATTCTTCTAAACTTCCGAGGGCCTCTAGGTCGCCCTTAATTAAGTATGCAATGGGGTTTCCAGAAATGTCAAGCTTTCGCAACTTCTCGAGATTGTTCCAGGCGCCGACGGTGCTGACGCTAAGGTTAGGTATTTCGTTGTTGGAAAGATCCAGAACTTCCAAGAGTGTCGTCTTTTGAAAGCTGTCGGAACTAATCGTCGTTATAGCGTTGCCCGACAGATTCAACAGCCGCAAGAAGGGACTTTCAATTAGTGGCAAGCTTCTAATTCCGGTGTTGGCCAAGTGCAGAAATCGAACGCTTTTTGGCTCTGCCAAGAGTACGTGATGGGCATTGGGAGAAAGGGGATTGTTGGAGACATCTAACTCCTTTATGTTCACAAGGACGTCGGCATTCGATGGGAAGTCTTCGATGTTATTATTAGAAAAATTAGCTCGTTCAAGGAAAGAGTATTGCTTCCTAAGAGCTAGGGTAGGAAACACACTGAACTGATTGTGAGCAAGATTGATGCTCTCCAGCTTGAAGTCCCTGAGGCGGCTGAATATGTCCGAAGGGAGTGCACTCAGGTGGTTGTAGCTCAAATCTAGGTTAACTTGACTAATTCCTTGGAAAAGTTTGTCCCCTAACTGCGAAATTTGGTTATGCTGAAGTTGGATTTGGCGCAACTGTGTAGAATTTTGAAAAGCTCTGTCGCCGACGCCGCTGATCTGGTTATGCTGTAGCTCGAGGTGCCGCAAGTTCGGCAAATCCGCGAAGTCAGAGTCTTCCAAAGTGTGCAGTTTATTATAACCGAGACTGAGGTGTTCTAAAGACCAAATCGAGCGAATTATTTCACTCGGGAAAAACGATAGTTTGTTATGACTAGCATCTAATTTTCGAAGTCGTTGGTGCATCGTAAATGAATCCGGATACAAATATGCTATTTGGTTATGACTCAGGTCAAGCTCTTCGATACCCGTTTCCCTCGTAAAAAGTTCGGCTTTGAAAGAGTTGAGTTCGTTCTCCTGCAGCTGCAGCTTCCGAAGCGCGGGCAGGTTGTCGAACGTCCCGGTCCGAATATTACTGAACCGATTCTTGCTTAAGTCGAGTGTCGCTAAGTTTGTGAGGTTTGCGAAAGCCTTAGAGTTCATGTCTCTAATAAAATTGTTCGTGAGAGAGAGCTCGCGAAGATCGACGAGATTTGAAAGCGCACCGAACCTGATTTCCGCAATGTTGTTATAACCCAGATCAAGGAACTGCAGTTCACGGAGCGCCGCGAGGGAGCCGACTGGAAGATCACGAATCTGATTTGATCTCAGGTCAAGACGTTTGAGCTTCCTGAGAGCAGACAAGGCGCTGGAGGGAAGGGCGGTCAACTTGTTCATTCCCAAGCTCAAAAGCTGCAAGTTGGGGAAGTCCAGCTGAAGCGAATCTGACACGATGCCATTGTCTCCCAAGTCCAGAGCCATGAGTGACTTCTGCAAGCCACCCAAGTTCCCGGAAGACAGGGTGGTGATCTTATTTCCGCGAAGGTTGAGCGTCTCGAGGGACGGAAAACTCTTGAACGTTCCGTTAGGAATTTCCGCGATGAGGTTGTAGGCCAGGGACAGTTCTCGTATGTTCATACCAGGGCTGACGACCGCCGGGGAAAGCACCGCAATCCTGTTGTAGTCCAGGTGCACTTTTTGAAGCTTTTGAAGCGAACTCAAAAGTGCGGAGGGAAAAACGAGAAGTTGGTTGTCGTTTAAATGAATGGATTCCAGGTTTTCGAGGCCTCGGAAAGTAGATGCGTCCACTTTGCGAATCTGATTGACGTCTAGTTTCAGAACCTTCAGGCTCTTCATGCCTTCGAAGCTTCCCGGTTCGATTTGAGATATTTCGTTCCTGCCGAGGTCTAGGTATTCCAGAGACCTCAAGTCTGACGGCAGGGCTCCGTTGAACGTCCTTATCTTGTTGGCGCTCATCGCGAGCATTTTGAGCGACGGAAGGCGACGCAGCGTGGTTGTGGGAATGTGCACCATGAAGTTGTTCGAAAGATCGAGTGTCGTAAGTCGGTTGAGGCCATCGAACGCACTCCCTGGCAACGTTTTCAGGCGGTTGCCCCCAAGAAGAAGGATGTGGACGGATGGCAGAGTGGCGAACGCGCCGTCTTCGATGACGGAGATCTTGTTGCTCGTCAAGTTAAGGGTTTGCAGCGAGGAAAGGTGAGGAAAAGCGCCCTTGGGAACGTGCTCGATCCGGTTTTCATCCAGGCTGAGCCAGGTTAAGGCCGGGAGGTCCACAAGGCTGGACGACGGTACGTCCTCAAAGTTGTTGCCGTTGATATGGAGAACCTGAAATGTACATCGGCCTAGTTAGCACCGAAATGACACAAATACAATAAAGAGAGGTGTCTAGTCGTTAGTGCTTGGAATCTGTGAAATTGTGGATATAAAAAGAAATAACATACAAAAAAGAAAACATAAACCAAATATTTTGGAGCATCTATATAACGTAAAACGCTGTAATGCTGTTTTTTCTTTTCGCTATCAAAGAATTAGTAAATTTTTATAATTCGAAGTGCAGGTATACAGTACTGCGAGGACTCTCAAAGTTGCCAAGGTCACCATTACCGTTGCGTGGTTTCCATGGGTTTTTACAAGTTTCTACAAATATGTCACGTACCAAACGCTTCCGGAACTGTTATTTCATTGGATACAATGTCAAAAATATGAATTTAACCGGAAATATTTAATAATTTTTTTGTGATATCATTGCTTAGATGACTAGCCTCGACCCTTCAAACAATATCTGCGTCCACACTTCCTGTGCAACACTTAAGCCAAAATTACATGCATTTAAATACCTAAGTGGGCACATAGCAGAAATGCACACACACGCGCACGCGCACGCACGCACGCACGCACGCACGCACGCACACGTGAAAGTAGTACATCGTAAATACTTGAAAAACACCGTCAGTAATTTAAGTGGCACTTAGAAAGGTCATCATATCCCACCGACTCCTCGCTCGCGTAGAAACAAACATGTACATATTCTCGGAGTCGTGAGATTACACTATCATTCTCGTTATTTGCGCCAAAAAAGCCTCGTCTGAACGACATTGTGTATGCGGAACATATCTGGATTTCGTTCCAGTGAGGACGGGCAGTCACGTGTACGTGCGGACGCCCTATAGCAACGGTGGGTCTCTGGTTATATTTTATTTTAGCGCGTCGCGTCCCACTATACGACCTCCAAGAGGACGCAGCTTGTCGCAAAAGGAGGGTAGCGAGGCGCGTATGTCCTTCGCGCGGGTGTCCTTCTGGATAGAGGACGTCGGGCGATCGCAGGCAAAATACCGCGCCGTCGTTTGGTTTACTCGATCTGAATACATATTTCAGAAGAGTTACAGATAAGGCGGTTTTTGTTTTTCTTGGCAAAGGGGAGTATTAAATTCGCAATAGTTTGCAATACGATTCTACGTAGGATGCTCGTTTTAAAGTTCCCACTAGCATAAATTAGGGTAATGTAATGATATGAAACAGAGTGAACAAATACAAGCATACAGGGGTAATTACTGGCAGTTTACGAAAATCAAAAGAATACGAGCTTCATCATGGGCGCTGTGCTATTTCGGCTGCCAATCATCGAAGCAGCTCTTGTCTGGACTGATAGGGCCTCTAATTCCTGCGCCAGATCGAGACACTAGTCTGCCTCTGGGCATTAGGAGACAAGCTTAAAGTCTAGGTATTGTTGCACGCATGATTGTCCGAACCTAAATGACATGCTATAAGTACTGCTGTATGTATATCACAATCACAAAATGCAATATTTTTTTTTTTTTTTTTTTTTTGCGCAGCCTGTTTTTGGGCATTAAGAGCATAGATTAAACTCTAGTGATGTGTTGACACAAGATTGTCCAAACGTCTACCTGTATGATGTATCACGGCCGCTTGATGAAAGGAGCCTCTCATCAAAGGGCCGTAGATGTGCTATACATACTGCTGTATACGTAAAAGAGTCACGAAATGTTAATGCTCTTTGTGCCCATAACAGGCCGGAAACAAACAAAATGAACCCCCTAGGTATACATGTGCTAACGAATTTTGCAAATCTGACGTCATTCACAGGTAGGATGTCTCTTCATATACGGCCGAGTGTCTCGGTGAACGTCACATTGAGGTTGTCTAAGTTTCCCTAGTTTTCTACCAGCAAAATAAGAAATGCAACAGAAACGTGCCTTCTTTTTATATTTTCGATGACGTGAAAGTATGCTGCAGAGCGTAAGAAATATATTTTTTAAACAATATAAAAAGCAAGAAAAAAAAAACAGTTGAAAGTGTCTGCATAAGAGGCCCTTCTATTGTTCAGAAACCTCCGTCGACGTGTGTAGCAGCTTTATGAAATAATTAACATTCTAATTTCTACTAAAGTAACGAAACACATTTCTGGTGTTTGCTCAGCTTGTCCTTGAGCCCGCACAGCCAGGACGTATAGGGCGCCTAGCGCGCCTTTGGGAGCTCACGACACGTAGTGCACGCTGCTTAGCAGCGGATAACGAGCCCTATAATTACGATAAGAGGACGTTGGCAGAAAGGCAGAAAGACGTTGGCAGAAAGGCCTACTCGAACGCTCTCATCTAAAGTGCCGGTGCATAGAGCGACTCGAGAGCTAATCGCACGCCCTCAGGTGCAGATTCTGCGTTAAGCTTGCACGCGTGTTCAGCCCACAGTTTACTAGCTCAATACACCGATAAAAATATATAATTAAATATAGCCCGCCTTTAGGATTGAACGAGCTTATACCCTCTTGTTTTAAAGTTGCAGAGTCACGGTGGCTAGATTTACCGGCCGTGGCACACTTACGAGTTTCTAAACAGACATCTTATGGATCGCCGAATCAAGATGAACTCCACGCCTTGAACACATAGTTCTACTTAATATGGGCACCTAACTCGTGCCACTCGTTTGTTCGCACGAATGAATGTCCGGGCTTATTACGAAGTCGTGTGTACAAGAATATTCCACATGACCGGCCTTAAACAGCTGAAGTGGCCTCTCAGAAGCCCACACGAACGGGACCCGTCGACGATGATTGTTCATGTATTATTCGCTTGCATCATGTGCTGTTGTTAATGTCCTCGTTGAGCTGCCCTTTATCGCTGGCTGGTCACGAGCCTACCTTGACATACCGTTGACAATGCGGCCATGTGAGGCTAGTCCCTCAATAAGCGGCCGCTCTGCAACAAAAGCCAGCGCTTGCCGCAACAATACGTTCGACTAGAATGACTTCGTCTTTGGCAGTTGCAGCTCCAACGAAACCGCCTCGCTCATTCGCGCGGGGGATGATGTGGCACGGGTCCCATTATGCGGTGTCGTGCACTGCGCGGTGGGCGAAGGCGCGACCGTCGACATGGCGTAACGAATGTTTGGGTTTTCGTCGTACCGGCACGCGAGCGACGGACGACCTCAGTCGCCGAAAACTCGAGGAACCGGACCACGTCTGTTTCCGTATTTTGATGGCCGGTGGAACCGAATGCCACAGTTTTCATGACGCGGTACTGCTTAGAAGCAGTGTTTCTTGTGTCCCGTGCTATTCTTCGAGACATTCCCTTCGTGTCAAAAATGCTGAAGGAGTCGAGTTTATACGGTGTTTACTTTCCTCGCGTCCTTTGTCTTACAGATATACGCTTAGCACCGTATTGTTTTTCTGTCTTCCAGAGAAGTTTTTTGCGGTGACTGACAACTGAAGAAAAGCAGGACGTGACTAACTTCAATGATCATGCTGCAGCCTATGTTTCTAACAATTAAAACAAACAACTGTAATCTGCAGCGGTTCGAAGTAAATAATTAGTGAGCTATGGGCCTTATGTTCTTTAAGAAAAAGCACAAGGCTTATAGCTGACTAAATTAATTTAATTTATTTAGGATATAAACACCGGGTGCAGTATAATTGTTCAGACACGTTCTGTTTTTTTTTTTTTTTTTTTTTTTTAAGAAAATATAGCAAAGGAGGCGAAATTCAATATGTCCATAATGGAGAGCCGTGACTGTAAAGTAAGAAAAAAATAATAAGGGCGTTCAAGATGGACTATGTTGACCGCCAGTCCGTCTATTCTCTGTCCTCGCATGTCTCGGGTTTTTATCACGAGCCTGCAAATTCCATAATTACTGGCGTAACAGAAAACCCCAACAACAGCAACAAATTTGCCGTCACGTGTGAAATTATGGTAAAGTGGCAACGAGAGCTGCAGCTCCTTTTCGAACCCTAACGTCACGTGACACCATTACGTCACGTTACCTCATGACGTAACTTGACAGCAGGATGTCCCGCGACATCGTGGCGTCACATGACTCTGCGACGTCACGGCGACGAACGCCCTGCATAACAGCTACCGCCATGAAACAATACGAAACGTGCCTCGAGTTTTTCGATGCCCTTGAAGACTCCGGAGTCTATGCCCTGGAGCAGGTTGTAGGAGAGGTCGAGGAGCCTGAGCTCCCTGAGCCTCCGGAGCTCGTTGCTGGCGAACACGGGACTCAGCTGGTCGCCGAGCAGGTTGAAGCCCAGGTGTAGCTCCTCGAGGGTGTTGTGGACGCCCTCGAGCATGCGGTCCGTGAGCCGCCGGACGCGGTTGTGAGAAAGGTCGAGAACGCGCAACGGGATGCCGCTGGCCGTGAACAGCTGCGCCTCGAGGTCCTGGACGCCCGCGTGGCGCTGCGAGAACCGGTGGATGCGCTGGCGGTACGGCAGCAGCGGGAAGTTGCCCTGCGGAGGACAAAGTGGGATAGATGGTGAGTTATCAGGTGTAGAGATAAGGGAGGCAGCAGTGTATGGCTTGACGTCCTTGTGGTGCGAGGGCTGTTTTTTTGCTTTCATCTTTCAGGGTTGGAATTTTTACGTGCCATACCAACGAAGGGCATCTGGCATGCCCAAGTGGAGGATTGAGGAATGATTTGGACCACCGGAGGATCTTTTGACGTGCAACCGAAATTTTGGTTACAAGGCGCCTTCTCCGCATTGAGTCTTATTCGGACTGCGGGCACCGCGGCCGGGATTGTTGCAAATGCCCTTTGCTATATGAATAGTTAGTTGTAAACAGTGGGCATGGGAACAGCGCCCCCTAAATCGCACGATTAACGGCGACAAAGACTCATTTAAGGGCCTGTGCCGCCATGCCGGTGAACCATAAAGCCAGGGTCACACATCCTTTATGCGTCATACAAACTGAGGCTGTCTGCGAACAGGAGCCACCGCAATATCCGAGGTTCGAATGCCGCGGCATTCGAAGCACGGATCACTCGTGTTTCGTGCTTCGTGCATTCGAAGCACGAAGTTTCCTCCTTGAACTCATTGCCACGCGGCATTCGAAGCACGGATCTCGCGGTGACTCGTGTTCGAAGCTGTATGCAGGCTGTATTTTATATGATGTATAAGCAGTATGACCCCGGCTCAACGGTGCATACACGCATATCACATGCGTACCTAAACTTGAGCTCTTATTTTTGATCACAAAACAATACCAAGAAAACAAGTGATTTTAACATTTAAGCACGATGTTGATAACATGCAAAATGTTAAAAACATTTGAGACCTGCAGTTAACATTTAGATTTAACTAATGAGATAGTTCACGAAGGTTTACGAGAGAGTTTGAGCTTTGGTTTAATATTCAAACCAAATCGCGAGCTGGTCAGTTTAAATATATATATATATATATATATATATATATATATATATATATATATATATATATATATATATATATATATATATGAAATAGATTCTTCCTTCTCCTCTCTATCTGACGAATAAGAAACGCGACGAGCGATCTGCTAGTGACGTGATCATTGACTGGGCAGCCCGAAGATTGGTGTCTATTGGTGACGCGACGGTAGATGGGTTCACAGATGTTGTGGGCAAGAATGAGGTTGACACGTGCTGTGAGGCAAGACGAACTGATGCGCTCATTTCTGTCCGATGCCGGGGCCACCAAAGTATGGCATTACGTCACAATCTCGCGAAGGCCTGACTGCCCCCCTGTTCCCAATTGATCCGGCCTCTCGTCCTTGAGGAGCTAAAGGCCGCGGTAGAGAGTGACAGGTGACGGCCGAATTCACGCATCTCTGGAATGTCGAATCACTGTCACACTTTGATGTGTTGTATATTTTCTATTTTATTGCGGAGAACATACCACATTAATGACAATAAGTTTGAAAGTCTGGCTCTCGACGCCGTTCAGTGTAAGTAAGAAAAGCGCAACTCAAGACAGGATGAGATTGCTTAAACAGTCCCCTATCTAAAAATATGTGAAAAAACAAACCAAAAACAGACTGTGGATGTTGTTACGAGACACGCGTGATCAACATCCTATAACAAAATTCAATGGCAACAAAATAAAGTTGTCAACAAAAAGGTCATAGAAAAGTTTGAAATACATAGAATTGTAAAATACAAGCATGCACTTTCGTACTGTATCTTCGAACGTACCTCGGAGCGTGATTTTCAAACGACAACGAGGACAATTGGTATCGATATGGTGACTGGAAAGATGTCTATAATCTAAGAGCACATGACGGTATTCTCGCTTATGCTTGTGTAATTCAAGCCCCGCACGAGGTTAGAAACACTATAAAGCGCTTTCTAAACCAAAACGCTTTGGTACGAACCGGTTTAATACGAAGCTATTTAATCATAGCTAAAACAAAGTGAAGGGGGGGGGGGGGAGGGGGGGGGGGTCAGATCATCCCATTCTAAACCTGCCGCTGTGCTTTTATTTAAAAGGATTTATCTGAAAAACACGGTGAGGCCATGGCACGAATAAAGGAGGAAGTCAGGAGCCTCCTTAGCCCCAATTTTTGTTAGTAACTACGAAATTACTGCAGTGATCAGAGACCAACGTAATTCACGACTGCGATCTATATACGGGGATGGTGTTCTTCGAGGTTTTATTTGTACGGGAGAGTGTTCCCAGCAAATAATACAGAGATGCCACTGAGAGTGTAAAAGGCTTTTCACGCAAAAATGCCATACGCTGAACGGTAAATCATGCGACCTGATATGACGTGTCAGCATGCTTCTGACCGCTTTCGAACGTTTTGTTGGGACCGTGAAGCGGCTAACATTTTACGGAGTTCGGATACATGCCCCTCAAAGTTGCAAAAGGGGTTTTGTTTGATTGAAACTAAGCTACTCAATGTTATCACTGACATTTACGAGTAAATCATGTCTTTGAATACACTGACTTTCCATATCCAACTTACATTCTTGCGCAGCTTCGTTAGGGGCGTGGACCAGACACCAGGAATGCAAGCTGTGCTTAGACACTACTTTCTCAAGGAGACGAACCTATTTTCTAAGCCCGACACGCGCCGCCGGCTAACGTCGTCAGTAACGCGATGCGATCAACTGCCCGGCTACGCTACAAAGCGGTCAATCTTTTTCTTAGAGCGCATACCTGGAAGGCAACTCGGTCGCAGTTGATCCCCGTGCCGTTATCCGGGGGCCCGACCAGGTAGCAGGAGCAAGGCCTCAGCATGGGAACCATGGAAGGAAACAGCTTGGCGCAGGGGACGCTCAGGAAGCGGCTCTCCTGAGCGGTTCCCAGGGCGGCCAGGCCGACCAGTAACGCCGCCGCCAGCGGAGCCAGGCTGGCCGATGGTCCGTGTCCCCTGGACTGCATCCCGACCAGCTGCCGTCGTCCTGTGGGAACGACCGGGACGAGTCGTAAATATATCAGGGGTCCTTTTATCGAAACCGGTGAGAAAGACATTGTCAATGCCCGGTCAACTGCAGCCCTCGGCCTGGACAAGTCGAGGGTCTTTTTATTTGCGGAGGAGAGAAGGAAGTGTAAATAAAGACATTGGCTACCGCCTTGGCGAGGTCGGTTATTCTACGCTTCCCGGATAAAATCGTTGCTTTTTTTTTATAGGATGATACATGTCGCACAGTGTACACCGAAATAATCGTACAAACAAATCAAACGCGCGGAGAAGATCCCGCAGAAACTGTTTTACGTATTTCGGGAAAACAATTTTTCACTTCCCAGGTTTCATTGTCGAACCATTTCGTTCTTCAGTTGTTTTCTTTCGCCCGACATTTGTAGTTTGTGGACGTCTGCATGAACGTAGCGGAATCAGTTCGAGGTTATGACAGTCGCGTCAAGAACCACACGTGAAGTTCAGAAGTCTCCAGAAGTCCTCGCATGGATATTATTCTCATTTGTTTCTATTTTGGTGTTTTTCAAACTTGCAGGTCGCGCAGATCGAGCTTCCTCTTTCTGGCACTCAACTATGCGTTTTGATTGTGCTTCTTGTGTCGTACCGACAGAATGCATCACAAGACTGATGATTGTAGACTGAGGTCATAAACCTCCATTACTACAGATTCGATTTGTAATTGGGAAAACAAGAATTTCAAATCCCATTACCCCCTCCCCCTTTTTTTTTTTCTTTTTTTTCCTCGTTTTTTGATAACGGGGCAAAATGCTGGGAAGTCAAATGAACTACAGGCCTATAATAAAGTTGTTTCCTTTCAATGCCCTTTCGTCTGCTCGACCGACATTTCCCTTCAAAGTAAGGGCGGGAGACAGAAAAGAAGAGTCGTCTCTTTTTTGTATTCTTTCAGTTAGACAGACATCATGCACCGTGATAAATGTCGACTCCATTTCATTTATTAAAAAAAAAAAAAGCCTCCCATACTGATTATAAAAAAACAAACAAAAAATATCACTGTTTTCCCAGCGCTTTCTCTCTTCCGCCCTTCGTTTTCGAGAACGCACAAATAAATACAAACACACAAACACCGAGGCATAAAATTCTCCGAGTTCTCAAATACACCTCGACTACAGCACCCGTTATTATTAGCCAGGAGGCGTATAACAAATAACGCTCGCCGCCTACACCCACGCCGTACAGCCATCACTTACCTCGCCCAGAACTTGGCCAGGCAGGCAGCTATCTCCCCGCGCAATGCGCAGTTCTGTGTACAAACCCTTATACTCGTATCCTGCACTGGTTCACCCCAAAGCTGACAGTACGGAGGGAGCTGCGCGCTTGCCGCTCTAATCACCCGCCTCCCTTCCGACACACGACCGCGCTTTCTGCGGGCGGGGGTAACGGACGGATCGTGATCACGTGACAAGGGAACGGCTTTATGATTGATTCAACGAGAATGTAGTTTCCACCGCGCTGTCAGCGTAAGGGGCGAACGGGGCACGAGTGCCGCACCGAGATTTACGGCAACTTCATGCGTAATGCGCCCGTTCGTATCATGTAGGCGGGTACGGTGTATAGGACGGCTGGCTGACCGACGGCCTGCCTACAGCGCGGACCGATACCCTGGACTCTCTCGTAGGCCGCACAAGCGACCTAGAAAACCGAGCCGCGAGGCGCCCGTGATCTGCGTGAGAAAGCCAACAAGGCCATCGGCGCGATGGTTGCTCCGAGCGAGCCCTCCATGGCGTTAGTCAGCCGTCGAAGGAGGCGAAGGCCTCCGTCGGGCGTTCCGTTTTTATGAGGTGACCGTCGGGAGAGATGCGAGATGCGACAGAGCGCGCGGGCGAATATCAGAGCTCGCTAAATTGTGCCTCAAAGCGACGCGAAGGCCGATCGCTTCGCATCGTTGCCGATGTGGCTGGAACGCGTCTCCGATTGGTCTGTTTACCCTCCTTCTATGCATTGAGAAAGTGGTTCAGAAGTGGCAACAAACTGCGCCACAGGAGCCGGTCTGTCATGCTGTCGGATGCCGCGATTCTGGCGGTTGGTTGTAGAAATGCTGTCGAGAAAAGGCGAACAACGGACGCGAGGATCGCTGTCGTCACGGAATCCCAGTATTTATTTATTCGGTACTTTTGCGGTGCCCCTCAACAGCCCGTGAGCCTACAGGAGGGTGCACCAGTGCATGCATGCAGTATTTCAAGCAACACAAAATACAGAATGCAAAAAAAAAAAAAAAAAAAAAAAAAACTTGTCGTGAAAAAAAATTTACATATGTAATATCAGCTAATTGTGACCTCCGACAGTGCAACACATACATCGCAGAAACCAAGGTTGTCCCCATATTTGTATAGTTTGATAGACGTAAAGGAAGGAACAATACGATCAATATACCTTGAGCAGTGCTCGCATGCTAAACTTATAAGCAAAAAAAAAAAAAAAAAAAAAAAAGAAACTACTTTTGACGTGTTCAATTTACTTTGCATGTTCAAAGCGTACGGAATACGTTCTAAGGGCCATAGGCTTCTTGGCTCAGAGCAGCCAAAAACGCGATGAGAGCGAAGCGCCCTGTTAGGCACGGCAATAAAAACAGGAGAGGTTACTTCAGAGCAATCAATAAAACCTAAAGACATTTGTGAAAAAAAAAAAAAATCTCCGGTCAGCCTCCTTTCGAAAAGATAATAAAGGCTTAAAAAAAAAAAAAAAAAAAAAATATATATATATATATATATATATATATATATATATATATATATATATACTTTATATATATACAACAAACTTTTTCCGTATATTTTCGATATCCGTTTAATCTGTCTTATTTAAACTATTCCATACAACTCTCGCGAAGTCTAACATCGACAAGTGACTGATAATTATGTAAAAAGCAAGAACAGGTCTTGAAGTGGCGCGTCACTCTTGTGCTTGCTCCCAATGTGCGGTAGCATGCATTGGTTAAAACTTCCACATGTTTAGAAAACTTTAATTCACTATCTAAAAGTACGCCCAGATCACTCACCACTGAAACTCGCTCAACCAGGCAGTTATCTAAGGTATATAAAAAATTGATAGGAAAATTATTTCTTAAAAAAATATATTAGTTTCGTTTTAGTCAGACTGAGAGCCAGATTATTGCCTTTGCACCAGCCTGTCAGTACTGTAATATCTCGCTACAAATTTTCGCAATCACAAATACCAGAAATAGTTCGAAAAAGCTTCATATCATCGGCGAATTGTAAACATTCCGCGTTACTGATACATGAGCTAATGTCACTCACAGGCACGTAGCCAAGATTTTGTTACGGGGGGGGGGGGGGGGGTATAGGTAACTTTTGATAGGTAACTTTTGAACCAGTTGCAAAGTGATGAGGAGAGACCATAGAGTGCAAGTTTCTCAACCAGCAATGAGTGGCTTACCGGGTCGAAAGTTTTTTTAAAGTCAAAATAAATGGCATCAACCTGTTGTTTTGACCCTACCGGGGAATTCCATAAATGCGGCCAAATTCGTTTACACAGAGCGGTTTGGCATAAAGTCGTGTTGATTTACGCTTATGTGACGGTAGAAAGGCATAGAGGCATCTGGGCGTTCCGTACTCGTGTCTGCTTTGGTTTCCATCGACTGTCTGGAGACAGCGACCTACAGCAGAACAGGCGTTCGCCACATACAGCTTCACTGCTGTGTCACCGCTAGGGTCCCGACATGCAACAGAGTGCCACTTTTTTCACGTCGGCAGGCGGAAATCGAGGGACCACGTTTGAAGACGTGATAAACACACAAGCGAGAGAAAGGACACCATACCAATGCTACGTGTCAAAAAAAAAAAAAAAAATTTTTTTTGCCCTAAATAATTTTTTTTTAAGGATTTATTTGATTGACGATATGGGTTCAGAGGAGCATGCCTTCCAGGGTGGATCCCGGATATCGTTCGAGGGGCACTCGGCCGCGTGCCGGAAGCGTGGCTTCGTCTCCGATGTGGGTCCTCGGAAACCGTGTCTTTGAGTTACCTCCTGACACGCATTGTCCCGAGCGGTACCAGGTTATCTCCCTGCGCGGGGTCGTGACGTCGTTACAGATCGGTACCTGCTTCTCGAAGCTCGGAGCCCCTACGGGTGCTAATACCATTATACCTTAGGTCGAAATGCGTAGCCAGGCTTCAATCGTGAGTGTATACACCCTTTATCCAAACAGGTATTTAACTGAATGAGAGTCTTTACAATCTTGAGAGTTAATGGGAGTCTTCACAAGGTATGAAGGTCAAGAAATAACAAAAGAGGGGCGGGGGGCGACCTTTGGTCTTTTTTTTTTATATAACAAGCAGTGTTCAGAGCTGAGCTACGGGAGCAAGAGAGCATACTGTGTACTATATTTTTTTGTTCATGAGCACTCGCATATGGCAGAGAGGTCAAGCGTTTCTGATCATCGCTCTACCGGCACTGAGCACAACATGGGGAACGAAGTGCAGCTGTATTCCGCCAAATTCCGGCAATGTTGAGCGGCGTGCTGTAGTTACCCCTGTAAGCAGTCCAAATTTTCGTATTTCGTTTTCGCACGGTTCATAGGCTGCCCTCACAACTGCCGGTATGACTGAAAGTGTTCATGCGCGGTACTAATATGGGTGGCAGAGTTGGATGTTCGACGCCATATACATGTTTTGTAAGCAAAGAAGACGATGGGAAAACATCGATTTTGTGCAGTTTAGACGTGGACTCGCATTTTCATTCCTTTCTTTATGAAAAATTCTATATCCAAAGTCATCGATTCTGGTGGTTGTGACCTCACAGGGAAACATCCATCCGCCCGTATTATTTAGTTATATCCTAACTTGATGTTTTTGTTCTGAAAGATGCACCTCTTTTCTCAGGTGATAAGAACGTACCCATAAAAACGTTTCAAAACGAGTGAATACGGGTTTCATTATACTGTATACTCATCAATTTTGTAAAAAGGGCCTAAACCTACCGTTACTTACTGTTTTTTTTTTTCTC